AGCATTAAAACTGTATTGTTTCAAATAGCTCCGTAAAAATCAACTATTTTTAAGTAATATGTAAAAGATAAAAATGGTTACCGCGAATTTTTCTGTTCACATTTTTAAGATATACAATTCTGTAGTACATTATTTTTATATACATATCTCGTAAGGTTTAGCCAGTGTCAGTAATGTAAGCTCCCAAAAATATTGTAGACATCATTACAAATCTTTGAAATTCTCGGCTTTTCTGTCATATTATAATTTATAACATATATATAATTTATAACCTTCCGGAAAAATATCTAAATGATAGTGAAAACCCTATCAAAAACCGTTGCGTGGTTTAGGAGGTAGCGGAGAAACAGACAGACAAAAACAGCGACTTTGCTTTATATGTTATTTATACATTTACATATCACAAATAAAAATATCCGGTTTATCAAATCGGCGAACCGAATTAAAGACTCGTATTTAACGTATTTTTATAGCGATACGGCAAAACGTATACGAACCGATTCAGTAATCGTAAACCCATACAGGTGTGAAACTGCTGTTAACGGTACAGTGATTGCCTACATTATCGTCTGTGACTGTGGATACCTTTATTTAACGTTGAGAAATGAATTTACAGATACCATTTGTAAAACTTTTTTATTGATAGATTATGATTATTTGATGATTGTTATAATATACTTAGTACTGCCGTAGTTAATGGTTACAGTAATCGGCAAAGTTAATTTTAGGTTCTGTCAATATTTTTATATACAATACATAGGTATGTAAAAAAATGGGTGTGTGTAACCTTTGCGCGCGGTTGAAGTAAAACTTCTTTGGCAAATATCGTAATTAAATAGGCTATATTTTGACAGTGTGAAAAATACTGTTTTATGGATCGAGATCCCGCTGCAAGATTGCTACGTTCATAGCGTATTTAATCGAAATCAATATTTTATATACAATAATAAAAGGGACAATATGTTTTGACCGAGGTGCCTATTAAAATGTGCCCGCTAGTACTAAATAATAGTTGACTTTTTGGAACAAAAACGATGCATTTGTTATTACAATGAATTATACTCCACTTCACAGAACTATACGTAGACATCTTGAAAAATGATAGCTGCCGTTGCGCATTTGGCCGCAACCTCTTCGCAGCCAGGTGTGAGCGGGTCATATTTTGGTACGTTTATACGTTCATAGCGTATAATCATCATTTATATATCAAATTAAAGCTATTTTTTTTTCTGTACCTGATAAAGTACGTCTGCCTATGTAAAAGTGGCCGCAAAAGTGGTTGCGATTCATTAAAGATGTTTTTGTTACACATTTATATATCGAATTAAAGCTATTTTTTCTGTGCATGATAAAATACCTCTCAACTATGTAAAAGTGGCCTCAATGGAAAGAAAAGGAAAGAATATAATATTATATATCATTTGTCAGACAATAACAACGGTTACCATGACAACAAACAGTTAACTAACGCGCTAACTCTCTTTCACTTTAATCTATCTTTGCCATAGTCAAATAGGCATATTAGGCATATTACAATCATATATTTATAGAACATCATATACAGAAAGAATATCTATATATATGAAAATGAATCCCTATTTCCCTTGGTCACGACAACACGCGTGAACGGCTGGACCGATTTAACATTTTTTTTGTTGTGTCAGGAGAAGGTTCATAAGAAAGAAAAAAATTAAAATATTGCGCGGAAAATTATAAAATTTAAGAATTCTTAACAACCATATTAAAAATAATATGGCTACCTAGCGATGAACCCGAGCGAAGCGAGGGTGAGCCGCTAGTAATATTATATATTTTATCAGACAATAACAACGGTTACCATGGCAACATGGCAATGTATTCTATCTCATTCTCTTGCCGGCTTAACTCTATATATTTATGTGTTTGTCTCTTTTTAGTGTCGGATTTTCGTTTCATCGAGTTTCAAATCACGATTCTAAAGAAGTTTCACTTCAAAAGTAAAAACCATTACATATTAACTAGATTATTAAAGTTTGTATATAGTATATACATAACTATACCATCTGTAAAAAAGTACCCGCTTTGAAGTTAGAAAGTACCATCAAAAGTCGACTTTGCCGGAGGTATGAAGGTTCTGAAATCTTTGACCATACAGTATAATTCATATTACTTACATATCTTAGAAATATAACGCAGTTACATCCAGTGTAATCATACCTACGAATGTATCACAACAGATAAAATCTGCACTTATATAAGAATCTAGCAAGTTTCCGCTATACATGTTCAGTCCGCCCGCACTTGACCAGCGTGGTGGACTATGGCCTGATCCCCTTCGCATTGAAGGGAGGCCCGTGCCCAGCAGCGAGATGGTCAAATATTGGGAATTAGTGGGATTCAATTATAATATTTGTAACTAACTATACAAGTAAAATATAAAACTAGCGTCTCGTTTTAACGGTTACTATGGAATACAAAACTTTGAATTTCTCGACTATTCTGTACTACAATATGCATGTATTATACATATAAACCTTCCTCTTGAATCACTCTATCTACGAGTATTATAAAAAAACCACATCTAAGTCCGTTGCGTAGTTTTAAAGATCTAAGCATACATAGAGACAGACAGACAGCGGGAAGCGACTTTCATTCTGGACCACAATGTTGAATTTGCAAAATGTTGGATTCTTATGATGTTGAATTCGCAAAATATTGACTCCCAAAATGTTGAATTCGTAAAAAGTTGAATTTACTGGACCCACAATGACAAGTTCCTAAAATGTTGAGTTCGCTAAAAGTTGAACTTGCAATATGTTGAATCCTAAATTTTGAACACAAAAAATTGTATCCTAACAATCCCAACAACAATATACATATAAATACAATCTGAATTGAAATGAATTTTTATCTGCGATATTTATAGTTATTGTTCGTTACCACCCCAGTTTGGAAAAAGGGCAATGCAATGTCACTTGGTCAAGAAAATATCCTCCAATAGTCTTGAATATAAATATGATAGAAATATAGTAGTACGATTGTGCTCTTATTTTGTGTTACTTTCACCGACGTATATGACAGAAGACTGGCGGCATATTGTAGATACTGCCCCTGATTTAGAAAATTAGCACAATTTTCTACAGTATTTTGAAGAGCAGTGGTTTAATATGATCACAATTTGATAAGTAGGGAGCATTATTGTTCCTTGTTGTATGAACATGACATAGTGAAAAACAAAAGTCGAAAAACAAATTACATCGAACAAAAAAACAAGTTTTGTGTTACATTTTCATTTATTAAAGTAAGTACAGAACAATATTCATAAAAAGCACATGAAAATTCATTTCAATTCATTTTTTATGCAATTCAGATTGTACTTATGTATATTGTTTTTCGGATCGTTAGGATACAACTTTTTTGCATTAACGTTTTGGGATTCAACATACTTATATAATAAAATATTCTTTATTGCACTTACAATATACAGACATTTTAATATAATAGTTTTATGTAAAGGTGGACTTATCTCTAGAAGAGATCTCTTCCAGCCAACCTTTGTTCATCAAAAAAAGATTGTTAAAAAAACATATTGCAAGTTCAACTTTTAGCGAACTCAACGTTTTAGGAATTCAACATTGTGGGTTCAGTAAATTCAACTTTTTACGAATTCAACATTTTGGGAGTCAACATTTTGCGAATTCAACATCGTAAGAATCCAACATTTTGCAAATTCAACATTGTGGTCCAGAATGGCGACTTTGTTTTATACTATTTAGTGATATATAATGAAACACGTTAAAATTTTGTTGTTAATTTATTTTCAATACATCAATATATCAATTAGTCAAGACACATATGGTTAATATATTAATATACTTAGCTATTTCTTAAAGCACAAATCGATAGCCTGTCGATTTTCAATCGAATTTAGCACATTTTTTAATTAAAATATATTTCATAAATTTTCGATCAACGGAAGTTTCGATTCGGAACTAAACTCAGGACCTCTTGAAAATACATCTCTACGGTCCTAGTATTTTATATAGATATATATTATGTAAAAAAAATCGTATGAAAAGGCTACCAATCTAATCTATACGTGAACACAAAGTATTTGGCCTACAACGAATATTTCCATACTAAAAGTGAATAAGTTGACATTTTAAAATGTTGTGAAGAATAGAATAAATCTATATATTTAACCGCAAACAAAGTTTCATTTAAAGTATCAAATAATCGCGTAAATCTTAAGGTATTAAAAGATTTGGTCGAAATAAGTTATACATCGTCAAATGTGATTTACAACAAAACAAAAAACACCCACAAAATCCATACTAATATTATAAATGCGAAAGTTTGGTTGGATAGATGTTTGTTACTCAATCAGGCCAGAATGGATCTGGATGAAATATGGCACAGAGATAGATTATATTATTATAGTCTGGGATAGCGCATAGTTTACTAATTTCCCGGAAAAATGTACGGATCCCGTGGGATAGATTTGTCTTTGTCTATCATCCCTCATCGCTAGTAATCCACAAAACGAGTTATCAACTTATTCACTTGCGGTATTTATGTGATATCTCATTTAGTATAATATATATTAAATAAATGTAAAACCTTTATAATTTAAATAAAAGATATATAACGTTAAATTAAAATGATTATAGCTTATTCTATATAGTTATGAGTTTATTATTACAATCATCACCTTATAAATACAATGTTTATAATATTTATGTAAAAAGCATGACTTAATCCTTATATAAAAATAAATATTTTTTATACTACTAAGAAATTTTGTGTTTTAACAATAAAAAATGTGATGGCAAATGACTAATTGCAAAATGATGTTTTGTATGAAATTGTGTAATACATACTGTTACGTTTTATTCAACTTATATTAATATATATCATAAATTAATTCATTATTTATTATTTTATTATTATAACATATAAAGTAAAAAAATCAATTCGTTGCAAACCTAAAAAAAAGTTTGTTAGTAAATAAGGCTTATTTAGGCCATGTTCTTGTATTTTGTGAAGAGATTGTAAAGCACTCTTAGAGTTGACTTCAGGTCGAGATTCACGATATCTGAAACATTAATTTATATTACGTTATTATAATAATTAATGACTCTTTATATTGACAGTGAAGTGTGACATCACTTTTCATATAATAACTGAATTTTCATATAAATTTGTTATCCTTTGGTTATTTCTCTTAGTTTTATGATAATCTATACATATAATAAAATAGTAAATTGGCGAATTCTGTACATGAAATATATTTTAAAAACAGTGACTGTAACATATTATGTACAGAATATAGACCCCCAAAACAATAGTTATTAAAATATTTGACTCAACTCGGCTCTAAACAATGTACTACAAAATTGCTAGGTCTTAAAGAGCCCTACAGATAATTTCGAACCCGTCTAAATAAAAGTAGTAAATAAACAAATCAAAAAACAGGATTTCTCACCTTCAGGCCTGGCTTTGGGCTTGGCAAGACCCACATCTTGCATCAGTTCGAAGGCAAAAGAAACATTATGGACCTTTTGATCAAAGTCCTGTGGAGTCAGGTGGAAGTCATAGAGGGGAACAAAGAACCCTTCCAGAAGGCCCATCAGGAGGCATAGGTAGACCCCATCATGGAACTGACTGTCTAGGTCTAAGACTTCTAGGTTCACTTTGCTTAGGTGTTTGTTCACAAAAGTTATAAGTGACTGAAATTATATTTTATTTTATTAATAAAGGTATATAAATATTATATATTGGTGTAGTATGAGAAGAAATCGTGTTTTGTACTTATATTTTAAGAAATCTATATTTTTTACATTAACACACAGCATCATCTAGTTCCATGGCATGTTGCGAGGCTTGTATTATGGATACCAAATAGTTGATACACTACATGCATAAAACTTTAAATACATACATATTATAATATAAACACCCACACACTTTTTCAAACACACACACAAATTTCCCACACACGCAAAATAGGCGCGCAGACGTCGAGTTGCGGAAACAAGCCCGTTTTATACCATACCATACCATAAACACCCATGACTGGAGTACAAGCACTCATGCTCATCACACAAATGAATGCCGCCTGTGGGATTCGAACCCGCGACCGCTGACACAGCAAGTAACGTTATAGAGAAAGGGTCAGTCTATACAATATATCAACCCAATATATCGAGCAATATACTTGTTTTGAAAGTAGATATTATTATTCAGTACCTTTTTCACAACTTGCAACTTGTCCGGTGCATGATCGAATAAAGCATCAAAAGCATCCCTTTCGCATTTCATTCCGAGGTCATCATATGTAGTTGTTATGTCTTCAATGTAAGTCCTAAATAATGTAATATACATAATATAAACATGCTTAATAAGTCGGACTGAAGTAAAGAATAATTTCACTATTTATATGTGGTATGATTTTTTTTAATATATACTGTAATAGAGGACCAAAATCTTAAAACAAGATGTATCTTAAAATTGGACAGCCCTTTTTAACGTCCCACTGCTGGGCACGGGCCTCCCTTTAATACAAGGGGAATCAGGCCATAATCCACCACACTAGCCAAGTTCGGACTGTGCGGGTGTTGGATAAACTTGTATAGATTGTACATATTATTATATTTTAAGTATATTGTATGTCACTTCATTTATTGGCTTAATCCCACTAATATTGTAAATGTGAAAGTTTGGATGGATGTTTGTAAATCAATCAAACCAGAACGGCTGAATGGATCATGATGAAATTTGGCACAGAGATAGATTATATCATTATAGTCTGGAATAGCACGTAGGTTACTATTATCCCGCAAAAATTTACGGTTCTCCAATTTGTTACTGTTTTCCAGGCTACCTTCTGAGATACAGGCCTAGTTCAGACATTTAAGTGTACTTAAATGAAAATTTAACTAATTATGTAATATGTACTTTAAAGAAATATATGTCTTGTAACCATTTTGTATTTAAATCAGTAGAGATATATTATTATATTTCTATATGACTTTAATGCAATAAACAATACAAAAATAAAAAGTATATAATATACTGTTGTTGTATTAAGTAATATATTATTATAATGCATTTTTTAAATTTTTCAAGGATGATGACAATCCATACTTGATATTATAAAATATTTGAAAGTGCGTTTGTTTGTCTTTCTTTCATGTTGAAGCAGGGTGACGGATTAGTGTTATTTTTTGTTTGCAGATAGTTGGACGGCTGGAAAGTGACATATGCTACTTTTTACATGTTATAATACAAACCACAACAACTCATTCTATTATTTCTACCTATGTGTATAAATCTATCTATATAAATAAAAAGGAATCACCGAAATGTATGTACGCGCATAACTTCGGATCGACTGCACCAAATTGGATAATTCTTTTTTTTTGTGTTTGTTATTGTCAGGAAGTTTTTTATACCAGAAAATAAAAGAAAAGTATGTTTTTTACTTGAAACAAGTTTTTTTTTAATTCTTATGATATGAAAAGTGAGTGAGTGAAATAGTTTTATTCAAGAAATCATCCCTTAAGAGGGTGAGAATGGGGATGAAAGTGTGTATGGGGAGGCAAGCTAGGGACGAACCCGAGGGTGAGTCGCTAGTATATAATATATAGTCTGTCTATTCCATTCTAACCGTTAAAACATACCTACGGAAGAAACCAAGCGAAGCGAGGGTTGCTTATAGTAATAATATTTAAGATCACAACAATGATTTTTATGTAAAGCATATTATGCTAAAAATTTACCTATGAGATAGTTGATTTGACCCATCTTTCTTCACCACTACAACATTAACGCTTACATTCTCTGGCAAACGAATGGGAGCTCTGAAGTGCCTTGCAAGAGCCACCAACAAATGTAAAATGGACACAACATTCTTCGAGTGCACCGAGTCCACACTCCACTTCTGCACTGGCTTTGCTGTCCCAAACAGTACCTGAAGATTATCAATGATATATTTTTTAGTTATCATACTTGAATAACTGATAAAAAAGATGTGCAAATCTTTGAAAGATAAACTGATGAGAAATCTTTTAAATAAAACTATCTTTTCCGATATTTTCACAGATTTATTTTATTTAAAATTAACAAATATTGTAAGGTTAAGTGTAATTTTGTGTGTAGGCACTCTTTGTAACGACTATATAATGCCTTTGAAACATATAAAACCTTAGTCTCTCCCGTGACCATGATTGCCATAAAGCATTCAACAAAACATCAAAATAATCCATGGTAAAAAAAATAAAATAAATCCATGATAAAAACCAAAAAGATAGTTTTATTTAAAAAAAAATCAAATATTCGCGTAAATCTAAGAAAGTATAATGTGAAATCGCATACTCTTGCAATATATAAAACATAAAGCTCAAATATAACAATCATACAATTAAAGGAAAAGTAATGCATTTATTATTAATCATTTTAATTATAACATTTTACTATTTTTTTAACCATCTACAATATAACTTTGTAATAAGTAATACTTTTATAATAAGTAAATAATAAATAATTCACAAAGCACATTGAACATGAACTTCACCTGCAATTCCTTTAAATCAGTAGATAATTCGCAAATGCTATATAGACAAAAATGGCAATATCTAGATAGTGGTTTTTAACTGTCACATATTTAAATAATTATTACCTTTACCTACTATATAAAACATATTTTTGAACAAAAAAATGATTCCTTTCTGCTAATGGTAAAATATAATTCCAATGTTTATTGTAAAACTTAAACAAATAAATGGCTTAATTCAATAAAAAATTTGTACACCACAAATTATATATGTGATAAAATTTAAATGGAAAATAAAAATATTATTATTGGTATATGCAATTCCAATCAAATTAAAATCTAAAAACTCTAGCAGAAAAAAAATGCTTTGCACAAATATTAATGTTTCCATTTATATTATCAAAAATGAATCTCAATTTTTATCATAAATTTAAATAATATTTTGTGTATAACTCGTTAGCATGCAACAATGAGCATGTAATTCAAAAAACACATGTTCTATTATAATATATTATTGATAATACATACCCTATTGACTGCTCTCAGTACAACAGCCAGCTTCTGCCTTTGTCCCTCCTCAGACTGAGTCACTTCAGGCACATCTAGTTTAGTTTCTGTTAGTTTTTCCAACAATTTTTGTAGCACCTGTCCATCATAAAGATCTTCACTGATGTCTTTAACAATAATTCTTTGTGCAGCAAGCTCATCATTAATCCAGTCAATCAAAACTTGAATCAGGTCTTTCACTCTTGGATCCTCTAAGCACCTTGGCTCAATAATTGCTCTTTCTTCATTGTCATCTAAAAATAAGTGAATAATTAAAAAATAAATAATAATTTATTGAAAAAAGTACATTTTATAAGTTTTATTTCTTACGCAAACTATATTCCTCTGGGGGAATTTCTGGTGCTGTTGGACTACCCGGTGAGTCGATCGCGTATTTACCTTCAGCTTGCACTTCCTGTACTAAAATAAATCGTTCAATGAAAAAATAGGTCAATTATTAAACATCTGCAAAACTATGAGGTAATATCCAAACATAGTGTAAATGTCTCAACCTACACACATGGCAAACTAATTTAATTCTTACCTTCCTTTATGCGTTTTTTGCGACCAATTGTTCCAATTTTATCCCAAAATGACTCTTCTTTGTCTTCTTTTTTAGGTAAAACGGGAGTACGAGGCGATTTTGGGCGTGGTGAAGACATTCTTGCTTCTGATGAGGAAAACGAACATAACATTATTATATGAATCATCACAAATATGCCTAATATTAAAGTGCACCAAATAAACATATTAAGTATGAATGCCCACTGCAATTTTAAAGTGGTATTCATTTATTTACCTCAATATTACAAATAAAGGAGAAAACTTATAAGAATTCTTAGCTTTTATTTTGTAACAGATTCAGATTGGATAGTTACATTTTGTTTTAACTCACCACAGATTATAGAATTGAGAATACAGATTACAGATTAACTACAATCTACAGAGAGTACAGACAAAAATAGAGTTTAACATTAAACCTCAATCTGCATGATTGAGGATGATGGATTTCTAGAGATGTATTAATATAAAAATGCATGTTGATAATTTTCATAATAAAAATAACTTTATAAAACAAAAACATATTTTTTCTTTTTGTTAGAGTACAAAACTAAACAATTAAACATTGATCCCGAACTATTGTATTTATAGTTCTAAGCAATTTATCTTTAAAGTATAAAACAATTATTGGTTGATGATTGAGATCTAGAATAGTTTTTGAAAAAACTTTGTAGGTAGTTATGAGATTTATTGTATTATTACGTCTAAAGTTGCTTATCTCCTTTATTGAATCTTGTAAATAGGCTAGCACAAACTATATAGAAATGTATGCTAGTAAAGCAATCAGTTACATTTCTCTTTAAATATTATAAGAGCAATAAGAATTTAATAAATAATAATAATAAATGTTTTTATTTCAAGCTTATTCACCAATATAAAATGTCAACAATATAATTTATAATAAAGTTGTGGTTAAATATAGATATAATTATAAAGTTATATATTATTATTAAATTTTACAACATAAAAAGTAAGAGGTATACGCATTACATTTAGCCTAATTTTCGCCTTACCTTGATTTTGTACTAATTTGTTATAAAAAATAGCAACTTTAAAGTAATATTTTAAGTAAAAAATATTTCAAAAGAATTGTGAGTTTTGTAAAATTTTTGTAGTTTAATCAAAACATCACTATTTTGACAACATCTTTGATAATAAAATATTTTTTTTAACATTGATTTTTTACTTTTTAATCTGTAGCGATCTCTTTATGAATACCTATTCACCTAGCTAAATTCATAAAAACGTAAATAATAAATGGCTGTATAGTGTATAAACTGATTAGCTGATAATATCAACACATATTAATCAATACTACAAAAACTAAGAAAGAAGTACGTACTGCCTATCAACATGTTATTATTTTAATTGAATCAATTTATGTTATTTACTTACTCATAAGCCTTTTAATCTACGAATGAGCATCTGTGTTTTATTGGTTGGTGGAATCATACCTAAAAATAGCAACGATATTGTATTGCATCACGCGAAGATATACAGTGCGTGCTCTAACTTTGAGCGGTGATTGTTTACTTGTTTTTCTTTGGTTAAAGGCTAAGGATGGAGAAAAGTGGCAATCCACCGCCATATGGCTGGAGTAACGGCCATACAATGCAGATTCCACCAGCGGCTCCGCCAAGTTATTCACAGGCCGTTGGGGGTGTGGGACCCTCTAGTCCTTATACACCACAATATATGGGAGCATGTAAGTTTAAATTTAAATATTTCAATCAAACATAGCAATTAATATGTGACCTCTAAAATATTTGGAGAAATGACTAATACGCCCTTGTAACAGTTTACAATTTTAAGATAGAAGTGAAGGTAATACCTACAAAAGTTCACCTCAATAATCGTATAAATAACATGACATAACTCATCTATGCATAAACATATTAATAATTATTATAATATAACCTTGTCACATAGCAGAATATAATCTTTTACCTATATGTATTCCTGTATAGAAATAATAAGCGGTATTTTTACATGCCATCTCCTTTTTAATATTGTAGAAATATATATAAAGTTTAAACAATTTCACTTTACTTTTTAAAAACACAACTGATAAGAGAATACTATTTTACCAATTTTAAATCTTTCCTAAGTAAAAGCTAAAACATCAAAATTTTATTTTCTTAACTTAAAAGGGACTGTTTGTTATATTATAATTTTTATTTTGTATTATGAGATATTTTTTGACAACTTTATTATCTTTTCACCATATTGTCCATGCATAAAAACTCTAAACACATAAAGAATTAAAATTACAATAATTAGTTCATTATTATTATTTATCTCTCTTTTGGATTTGACAAGTCAAGCAGGAGTATACACAATCTCTTTATTTATTTGTATTGAACACTTCCATCGTTTTGAGTAGAGTCGACCGACGAATGAATGTTAATGTTAAATATCATTAAATAGTGATTGTTTTGCTGAAATGTGCTATTGGCATAATGTACAACCATATCTCAAAAGCACATTACAAATGCCTAATTGGTCTACTGACTAGCATCTATAGCTGCAGCCCAAAAGGTCGCTAGCTCAGACCAATATATAATTTTATAGTTAGTGGTGTTACAACTTCTGCTTAGGTTCGGATATGATATGATGTAAAACATGAAAGTATATAATATGTAGGTATATATGTTTGTATGTCCATATGTGTGTATAATTATTTTTATTTATATATATTTTTATTTATAATTATAATTATTTTTGTGTAATTATTATATTTAGTTGATATATTTTAATATTAAGTTTATACTATATAATGTGCTGTATCTACACTACACTAAATTAACTTATTTTCTCACTTCTGAAGGGTTCTGGAAGATCATTATCCTCTGTCGATATTCTGTTACTTTATTTTGTATAACATAAATATTATTGTACATAAATAAAAAATAATAAAATAATAACCTGTTAGTCCTCTACCTTATCTCTCACCAGACATATTGAATTTTTGTACTTGGGTCTCTTTAGACTTTGAGAGTGAAAAGTAATAGAGAATGCATTGTGTATGTGTACAGTTATACAACAGTACAGTACACACTTGGGTATTATAATACCTCCTCAGTGGAGTCTCGAAGATATTGGCCACTGGGGCTGAAATTGATCATGAAGACATCATTAGTAGCATTTTGTAAGTGCTGATGTCATAATTAATAGAGCAAGTCTGCATCTAAAATAGTGTCAACATAATATTCTACTAAGGTAACTTATCTGAAGATTGTTCAGTTCATATACATATAGTTTAGTTTGGGGCTAAGAAATGGACATTAACACTACTAAATATGATATCGAAGCAGACAGTTCATTAAAATATTTAATATTAAACTAGCTATTAATGATGAACTCATCGATTCAATGTTTTATTATTTTCATTGTTTCCAAGTAAATTCTGAAATATCAATGAATAGTCCTACTAATAATTATTATATGAAGTTCAAAACACGTGATTCATAGTAATATTTTATCCATGTATGACCTATTTTAAGAAAATATTCATTTATCACTTATTCTAAATGCTATATGATTTAAATTTTATGTTACATTTAAATTTTCAGTTTTGAACATTTTATTTCATGATCACTTAATTTATTCAATTTAAAAAATGACCGATTTCTCGATGTTCCCTTTACTATATGGGTTTGCTAAGGTAGTCTGTGCTTAACGGATACAACTAAAGCTACTTATCTATACAGTGTCTGTTTGTAATATCAAAATAACAGCATTTTACTAAATGCATATGCAAGTATTTACGATACTAATAAGAAAAAAAAATTTAAAATTATATCTCTCTCTCTCTCTCTCTCTGTCTGTCTGCCTGTATGTTTCGGTTAATCTCCGTAACGGCTGGACCGATTTTGACGGGACTTGTATTGGCAGATAGCTGATTCTATAAGGAGTATTTTGGGCTACTTTTATTTTAGAAAAAGAATAATTATTTATTTATTTATTTATTTATTTATTTATGTTTAGTGGTCCACAAAACAAATGACAATCACATACATATAAAATAAGAATAGCTTGCAAAATTAATGCACAAGATTGCATTTTTCTAGATGCAGACACATCATGCATATACAACAAAACTTAATATTACAAAAAACAAGATTTAAACTACGGTAACAATGAGGAACGGCTTTTATCTACTAACAATAAAGAAAAATCTTAAAAAAATATATATGAATTACAGCTATTAAACTAAACAATTTGCTTTAATTTTTTACGTAAATAGGCTATAGAGGTATTATTAAAAATATCTAATTTAAAACGAATAGTATCATACGCTGAACACATGCGGAATAAGGGCGAGTGGCTTATTACATTAGTTCTCGCGTTGGGAAGACAAAATGTCTTACGATTTTGTAGACGACTACTAGGACGTGGTATACAAAAGTTCAGTCGTTGTAAAAGATCAGGTGAGTCAATATACCCATGAATTAGCTTGTACAAAAAAATTATATCAAGTATTTTCCTACGTGTAGATAGAGAAATAACTTTGTAATGACTTAGTCTTTGTATATAAGAATTTAATTCATGACATTTGTTGTCTGTGTAGGATACGTGATATAAAAATCTTTTTTGGACACATTCTAATCTATTTACGTGAATTTGATAGGATGGGCTCCATGCTGTACTACAGTATTCCAATAAATTTCGAACTAATGTATTAAATATAAGAATAGTGATATTTGGTTGCTTAAATAACTTTAGTTGTCTATTAATAAAACCTGATAATTTTGAAGCTTTTTTTATTATGTTATCAAAATGTTGCCTGAAACTAAAAGAACTATCGAATATAACACCCTCGGATACTTTTGACTTCTTGGATAGGTAAATTATTAATATGATATGTAACTGGTTCAGAATTAATTTTTCGCGAAAATTTTAAAAAGAAACACTTCGTGGAATTGAGATACATTTGATTAAAATTACACCAATTGACAATAAAGTTTACATCTGTTTGTAAAATTTCCTTATCAGAATCATCATTCATAACACGATAAACTTTCAAGTCGTCGGCAAAAAATTTAAAATTTGATTTAATATTATTGCATAAATCATTAATAAATATTAAAAATAGCAATGGGCCAAGATGTGACCCTTGGGGAACTCCAGAAGTTACTTCGCACTCTTCTGATTTAAAACCACGAATATATACTAACTGCGAGCGGTTCTTTAAGTAAGACTCAATCCATCTTAACAAACTACCGTGGATACCCATATTCTCAATTTTCTTTAACAATAACTTATGATTCACTAGATCAAATGCTTTTTTGAAATCAGTATATATAGAATGGACTTCTTTCTTTTTATCTAAACCTTCTGCAATATCAGATACATAAGAAACTAAATTAGACGCTGTTGACTTACCGGGTAAAAAGCCATGTTGGTTACAATTTATGTACCGACGTACATGATTCATTATATGTTTATTAACTATTGATTCTAATATTTTTCCACAATTTGATAATAACGAAATAGGACGGTATGCACTCACATCACTCACATCTCCACCCTTATGAATAGGTGATAGATAAGCCTTTTTCCATTCAGAAGGAAATATCCCAGTTTCCAATGACTTATTATAAATTTTACATAATGGCTTATATAAATTATTTGCACATTTTTTTAGAAATGATGAAGGTAAACTATCAGGACCAGGAGATTTATTTATATTTATTGATTGGAGATGTTTTAAAACATCATTTTCATGTACAACTAATTTGCCAAGTGATAAATAATAATGTTGTATAGTATTGAACGTTTGTGTCGGCATAGAATTAGCTTGGTTTAAACTATATATACTTTGGAAATGTTTAGAAAAAAGATTGCATATTTCTTGCCCTCCTATTGCTTTTTCGTTACAGAGCATCATTTCATTAGGGATTGAAGCACAATTACTCTTTCGTTCCTTAAAAAATTTCCAAAAATAGTGTGGATTCCGTCGCAATTGGTTAGGAGCGTTACTTATAAAATTAGAATAACATTCTTTTAATAATAAATCACATCGTTCTTGTAAGATTACATAACTTAAATTGTCCATTTCATTTCCGTAAACTTTATATTTTTTATGATATTTCGCTTTTTCTTTAAGAGCTTTAATAAGTGATAACGAAAACCAAGTAGGAAAGCTCTCATTCATTGGTTTTCTAAGAGGAGTAAACTTATCTATAATTGGTGTTAGAGTTAAATAAAATATTTTAATCATCAAGAAGGATCCGTGGAAAAAACTAAATCAAGAATTTTACCATTTCCATTTAAAACGTGATTGCATTGATAAAGATTATTAAAGGATATCACTTAAATTAAAATCACCAATTAAGATTGTAGATGATTTCTTATTTACATTTACTAATACACGCGAAAGATTTCGATTAAATGTGTTAACATAGCATCCATCTAATGGAGGTGGCAAATAAGCTACACATATATTAATAATATTATTTTTACCTAACCTCAAGCTAATCCATAGGTCTTCACATGAACACTCCCAATCGAGTTTTCGAATAATTTCAAACTTTTTTAAAACAGCAATCATAACACCACCCCCATCTTTTCATTAAATAATTAATATAACTACAATAATAAAAATAATAATAATATAATAATATAATACATAATTTCCATAGCATCAGGCCCTGCGATTGTAACAACAGTGGTGCCTGTTGGACCTCATCCCACGCACATGATCTGTCCCAGTTGCCATGCAGAAATGGACTCTTTCACACAAACAAAACCAGGACTTATTGCTTATGTGTCTGGAAGCATCATTTGTATGTTAGGGTAAGTTGTATATTTTTTTTATAATATATGCCCTAAAATTTACTACTTAACACCTCTAGGTTAATTTCTAAGAAATTAATTAAAATTCTAAGAAATCTATTGTCAACTGATACGCCGGCGTGTCCGCGGTCGTGGAGGGATAAAAAATCAAGTTAACAAAATATCAAGTCGTATTTTTAAGCTTCTCTCCTAATTTTAAATATTTCTATTAAAAATCGATAAAATTTAAAATCATGTTCTATAATAATGACTTCGCAATATGTATGTATCTTCATAAAATTACCTCATCATTTTAAATAGGGTATACTGAATAAGTACATTACGAATGTCTATTTAGCTGAAACTAATTAGGTGTGGCATTTTATAGGTCAAGTTTTGTAATGCTAATTGGAATATATTAGTTAGTTACTGTGCAATGCATATATGTAGTTAAAATAAAAGATTTATTAGGTAGGTACCTACCCACAGCCAAATTATTGAGCTATTCCCTAGGGTGATTTCAATTTCGATCACTATGGCTTACTTGTTTAAGAGGTTACAAATGAAATCACTTTTTACTAATTGCATATGAAAATATATACGGTACACGTAAGCCAAACACAATTTTTAAAACTTTTTTGTCTGTCTGTTTGTTTCGTATAATCTCCGAAACGGCTGAACCGATTATGATGGGAATTCACTGGCAGATAGCTGATGTTATAAGGAATAACTTAGGCTACTTTTATTCTAGAAAAAGAATTAGAATTCTGCTAAAAAATTAAAACGTATGGAGTATTTTAAAATTAAGTTGTTTTATATGATATATAAATTGTTTCAGGGGCTTTCTAGGTTGCTGTCTCATCCCATGCTGTATAGATAGTTGCATGGATGTGCATCACAAGTGTCCTAATTGTGGGGCTTATCTTGGTCGTTACAGACGATAAGATGCCTTCGAGCAAGACTTACGAATTTGAATGGAACATATTGATGACTCTGATGAGTTGCTAACTTTGAGTAGTAGAGAGTAACAAATATTCGAATCTCAAACATGAATTAAAACTGCATGTATTCTTCATAATATGAAAAATATTATTCAATTAAACATGTTATGTGTCACAACATATGTTGGCAACTTATTCTATGCTGCATGTTGAGTCATGTTCTGATCTGATTCCACGCACCCACTTTCTATCTTAGAGTTTAGACAATAACTGCCTCTTAGACTGACTGTACCAGTGTATTTCTCACTTTGATCCATCACATTTTAAAAGATTTCAATTTACATATTAATATTAATTAATAAATGTACCTAAAGTAGTATGGGTAATAATTAAACAATCTTTATAATAAACATTATGAATGGAAATGTATGATTTATTTGAGGATATATACTTTAGAACTCATTCTGTAGTAATGTTTTTTATCAAGAATCTCTTATGGAATTAATATTTGATGTCTATTATGAAACTTTCGAATTGAAAAAAACTTTTGTGTAATAGGTTATAAGAATTTAATATTACTAACAAGGCCGCATTTGTGTACATTATATGAACATTTTCTGTCCATTTTATAAAAATGTCTTTGTCCATTTTATACATTAACTTTGATCTATCTTTAGGTTTTCTATTTATTAATAAGAATATTGTTCAAGCAGCTTTAGTTTTAAGTTTAAATCAATTTTATACACAAATGTATTGTGAGAAGGTGACTTATTTTTAAAGATCTACAAGCTTTTAAGCAGCCATCTATATATTTATTTATGTTTACTAAGTTATTAATAATTGTATTTCTATAGTAATTAATAAAACTACAACTATTACATCACTGATAGAAAATAATTGTAAAAAAAAAATTGAAAATTAATTTTTAATCATTGTAAAAGATTTTGATAATAACGAAATCCTAAATACATTCTTTAAATGCAACCAATATATTATTTTATTTCAAATTTCCCCTAAAATAGCTATATGTATTTACAAATATTATTTTAATGGTGAAGGAATATAAGTTCTTAACCCTTAGTTTGTAGGGTGAAAGATACTTGATGTAGGCTGGAGTCCGAGGGACTCCTCCAACGTAAATTTGAAATAAAAAGACAAAATATAAAACATTGTAATATATTTGGCATGCAAATCATAACTTATTTACGATTCTATAATTTAATAACAAAATATAACAGAAACTTCACATGAGATTCATTTTTTCTTAAGTTTGGTATGGTATGGTATGTTCGGGCTGTTTTCCGCAACTCGACGACTATGCGCCTATTTTGCGTGTGTGGGAAATTAACTTCTTGTTACTCTTGCCACCCCAGTTCCTCCAGGAAGTTCAGCAACCTCTTTGTCTTGCCGAAAATTTCCGGGAGTGACCCAGGAGTGCCAAGATGTTGAGCCCGGTACGCCGCTACACCTGGACAATACAAGATCACATGTGCAGCCGTTTCATCTGCCCCCATGCATGCCCTGCAAAGTGGACTGTCAGTTATACCTATATTAAATAGATGTTTATTATATGGTCCGTGGCCGGTTAAGGCCGCGGTTATTTGCCTGAGTTGAGGTCTGTTAAGTTTGATGATACGGTTCGACATTTTGGCATCAATGTTTGGAAGCGATTCTTTCGCCTGTCTGCAGTCTACAACTTCACGCCATACATAGTTGTGTTGGCGTTTAGTTCGTTGTCGAATTTGGCCTTTGAGCCAGCAAGAAGGTAACGAGACGATGGGCTCTGGTCCTATCGCCGTCATGTCCGAACCCCTTCTTGCTAGCTCATCTGCCTTATCGTTCCCCCACGAGTTACAGTGGCCTTTGATCCATTGTAAGGTGATCTCATTCCGGTCACTTACCTGTGTCAAGGCCTTATGACATTCATAGATCATACCTGATGTGGTAGAGTTACTATTTAATGCCTGTAGTGCTGACATGCTGTCTGATAATATGCGGATGGAGCAGTCTTCCACCTTCTTTGTCGCAATTGTTCTAGCTGCCTCAAGGATACCTAGACTTTCAGCTTGAAACACCGTGTTGTAGGTACCTAGAGGTATTGAAGTTTTAATGTTTAGATCATCGGAGAAAATGCCACAGCCAGTCCCCGATTTGGTTTTCGAGCCCTCGGTGTAGATTCTTAGGTCCTTACTGTCGCGACCTTCACATGTATCTTCCTCCAGCTGTATTTTATATTTTTTGTCAAAAATGTATTTTATTTGTATTCCGTCATTGGGTGCTCCCATATGAGGAATGTCTTTGGCTACGTCCATTAGGATTTTTGTGTGTGGAGTGCCTGTTTTCCTTAGCAGTTTTTGACCATCTAGTCTTATCGCGGTAGTCGCAGCCTCTTGTTGTATAAACAGGTGAAGCGGTAAAAGGTTTAGCATGGCTTCGAGAGCTGCGGTTGGTGTTGTTCTCATGCAGCCCGTCACTGCCATGCACACCAGCCTTTGCCAGCTTTGTAGCTTGGTTTGTGCTGTGGTCAAAAGTGTTCTACGCCACCACACTAAGGCACCATAGCTGATCATAGGTCGTATTACCGATGTATATAGCCATATAGTTATTTTGGTATTAAGGCCCCATTTTTTACCTATCATCCTTCGGCATTGCCAGAAGGTGATACTGGCTTTGTTTAGTAAATTGTCTAGGTGTTTAGACCAATTTAGTTTGCTATCTATGGTAATTCCAAGGTATTTTACCTCTGTGGTTAATGTTAAGGTGGAGTTAAAGAGTTTCGGCAGGGTGTAGCTTCTAGGGCTCTTTTGTTTGTGAACATTATTAGTTCTGTTTTGCGTGGGTTAACACTTAGATTATAGTCATAACACCATTTTTCGACTATATTTAGGGCTGTCTGAGTTAGTTCACAGACTGTACTTGTGACTTTCTTAAGTTTAAGAAACAACCTTCGAAAATCACAAAAAGATTGACATACCGACTTTGAGCCTCCATAGTTTTCTATGATTGTAAATAAAATTTATTTACAATCATAGAATTTTTTTTAATCAATTAATTTAACAGGTTTGCCAAAGAGCAATGGAACGGAGTATACTAGGAATTAATATAACTGACCATATTAAGAATACCATAATCCGTTCTAGAAATCAAATTACAAATGTCACTCGGAAAGCGGCCATGCTGAAATGGGACTGGGCTGGTCACATCATCCGGATGTCAGATAACCTTTGGGCCAAAAAAACAACAGTTTGGATCCTCCAACACAGTAGACGACAGCATGGTAGGCTAAGACGAAGATGGTGGGATGAGTTGGACTCCTTCCAAAGAGAATGGCTTATTATGGCAAACGATAGGGAGCAGTGGAGAAAGAGTAGGGAGGCCTTTGCCCTGCACTGGGACACTACTGGCTTATAATAATAATAATAATAATAATAATTTAACAGTCTTCTTAGTAAAAACTCAATAAAACCTAAATATTCAAAAACAAATTTTCGTTTTTAACAAGCTTTCGTTTTTAAAAGTAGAGAGACAATGATATAAAATAATACTATAAATATTAAATAATATACAAATATCTAAGAAGGAAGGTCCTTTGGCTATAAAAAATATAATAAATGAATTCACACAAAAGATTAATCCATATGTATGAAAATACGTTATCTGTAATAAAAGTACATTAAGATACCATAAATTAACTCTTACTTTATACTTATAGTTATACTCTGTGCCTGTGGCATAGAGTATATTGCTACATAGCCTGTGGTTTCAGTCTTCGATCAATTGGAATTGGTCTATCGATTTGTGGTGTGCTAAATTATTTAAGAATAATTGTGTTTATTTTCTTTAAGTAGTACTTATTTGATGAATAAAGCTACTTATTTTTAAACCATGTCTTGGATATTTGGATACAGCCGGCCTCAGCAGCCGCCTCCAGATGAGCCCCCCACAAACAGCGGCGAATCTGCTGCTCCTCCTGTTACCCTAACGAAAGCGGAGAAAAAGGCTATGGAAGCCTATAGATTTGACTCTAGTGCTTTAGAAAGGGCTGCTCAGGCTGCCCGTGAACTGGAAAGGTCAAGTAAGTATTTAACCTCATCGGTCACATTTTACAGTATTGCATAATGCCGCTGAACCTAACCTAAAATCTTATTAGATAAAGCAAGTACATGTGTATCTAGGTATGTAATTGGTACTAATGGACACAATATAAAGCTACGATACGCTAGATATTTTATATAATGATATATTTTGCTGCCATACTGTTCATACTCGCATATTTGCTAAAATGGCCTTAGAGAAAAAATGTATCTATGACCAAAGATTGCATAGCGACTATAATAAAGACAACTATGATATATTATTAAATATTCTTTCTCATTTAATATAATGAATTCAGTTTGATTATATGCTGTTTATAGGAATTTATTTCTTTAGTAATTTCGAAGCTTTGCGCCAACAGAAATGAGTGGAAATCAAATTATCTTTTTTAAATTTATAATAATAACCCTTTTACCACCTTCATTTCTATTTATTTTTTTGATATAATATTTACAATTTCAGTGGTAACATTTGTAGACATTTACAAATGACTTCCATTGCATATACATACATTATTACTCAACTTGTTACTTTTTTATGAAATACAAATTCATTTAATAGTGTTATCCCTAATTTTTTATGCTTTCTGAGCATAACTATAGCAAAGGCAATAATAAACAGCTCATATAATAAATTTTCATAATATAATATGTAGGTATCTTTTAATTAATCCCTCCATGACCACGGACACGCTGGCGTGTCATTTAATAATAGATTTCTTAGAATTTTAATTAATTTCTTAGACATTCACCTAGAGGTGTTAATAAAAAATATGTATCCTAATGATTCATACATTTCAAAAAGATCTTCTTAACAGTACATTATGTATTAGTTGTTCGAACTTTGTTCTATAGTTAATATAGCTTATAAATAAATTAAGAAATAAAATTCAAGCCAATCCTCTACATTTTGTTGCCTGACAGGGAACAAAATTACAAAATATATCATTATATAATATATACTACGAGGGTTTAGAATTTAGATTTGCAGGTTGTTTCTTAAACTCAAGATGAATAGGCAAAATAAAGTTTATATATTTTTGTTCTTAACACCAACTTTTATGGTAGTAGAAAATGGACATGTTATTTCTTTTATAAATGTCACTACACTTTATTAAGAAGTTGATTGAGAACTAAACAGTAAACAATATCATTTAATAGTGTAATAAAAATTTTAATAGAACTTATGTAAGAAGTCAAATTGCTCTCATATTACATTCATACAACATTTATGTATATAATATATTCATATTTGTTATCGATAATAGGTCTTATTTTAATTTCAATGAAGTACATATGCGTTGTGAAAATATTTTTCTAAAAAATTTACTTAATGTATTCTTTATTATTTTTATTAATTATTATTATTTCTATATCCTTTATCTAGAACATGCAAAAGATGCACTGGAACTCAGTAAGTTGCAAGAAAGCACTCGCCAGCAGGAGCAGATGGCAAAGATCAAAGAGTATGAAGCTGCTATTGAACAATCCAAAGTTGACCAAAAACGTGTTGACTATGAAGAACGACGGAAAACATTACAGGTTAATAATAATCATTGAAAATGTTTGCCTGCTATTATTATAACTGCATAATGTTAGCCTAAAATTTAGCCCATCTGATATTATCAGATATTGTAGATTTTATTATTATAAAATGCTAGTTTTCCCTCCCACTGCTTGGTACATCAATGAACAATAGCCAACATGTTGCTCAGTGATAATATGGATGTTTATTATGGAAATATTTTAAAATTTATTTTCAAACAAACAAATCTATACATATATGATATGGTATGGTATGTTCGGGCTGTTTTCCGCAACTCGACGACTATGCGCCTATTTTGCGTGATCTATATATATAATAAAATGATGTGTTGAATCTGTACATTAAATATTTTTTGGATAATCAATACAGAGGCTGAAGTTATAGTTTTTAGAATTTTTGTCTGTCTATCGATCTATGAATGCATCACGAGAAAACCATGGGACAGATTTTGATGAAGTTTGGTATGATGATAGCTGGTTATCCGGGTCAAGATATATACTTTTACTGCTGTAAAATATCTCATCTCTGAGAAATCAATACTAAACGTTAATACATATATAATATATAAACATTAAACAAAATATATGGTTCACATGATTATATTGACCATTCTTATTTTTGTCAGTCTTGTATTGATATAGGTTGGATGACAGAAAGTCACTAGATCCTCTTAGTTTCTACTCTCACAGTGCATGTAAAAATCTTTGTTTGTACAATATTAATATTATTTGTTTAATTCGTATCAAAAGGAAGAAACAAAGCAGCATCAAATGCGAGCTCAGTACCAAGATCAATTGGCAAAGACTCGATATGAAGAGCAGTTGCTTCAACATCAAAGGAACCAAGATGAAATTTTAAGAAAGTAAGTATAAGTTATTTTTTATCCCTCACCACTCACCACTCATACTCCTTCTTTCCTATTTTAATGATTTTTGTTAGAAAGATCATTTGTATCTTTATATTAATTGAACCAACCATTTATTATTTAAATATGAGGTTAACACAAAAGCAGTCTAGTGTGACTGTCTGCAAACAATTAGTACTAATTAAGTGATTCAATTTTGTATGATTAATTTAAATAAATTCTTATTTATTTGTATCAATTATAAAAGCCTGGATTGTATTGCTAAAAAAATTTCATTTATATCAGACAAGAAGAAAGTGTAGCAAAGCAAGAAGCAATGCGTCGTGCCACCCTCGAACATGAAATGGAACTGCGTGAGAAGAACAAGCTGAAGGCCATAGAAGCTGAGGCAAGGGCGCGGGCGAAGGCTGATCGGGAGAACAGAGATATTACATTAGAGCAGATACGATTGAAAGCGGCAGAAAATAGGACTACTATTTTGGAGAGTATACAGTAAGTATAATCTGGGTAGATAAAAATACACACATACAATACACACATCGTCATCATCATCATCATCTCCCTGCCAATATCCCAAATTAAATTTAATAAATTATTATTATAATACTTAATAATTAATATTGTTAAGAATATTAATTATTAAGTATTATAAATACAGCAGGAAAAAGCTGGATGCATATGGCCAAAGACAGCGAAAGATGGAAAAGAATGGAGGAGGCATTTACCCATTGGGGGGCCTCACGAGAAAGAAATGGAAAGGAAATAATTATAATTAAATGAATACAAGAAAAAAAAATTAAGTCAAAAATAAAGCTGTAATGATAATAAGAAAGTGATTGGTAAAAAATGATGGAGAGTTTAAGTTAAGCTCACACCAACGTTAAATAATTATAATTTTATTTTCTTTACCTTGGAGATAGAATTTGAAGCTTAGGGTAACCTTTTCTCAGGTTCTCGCTGCGGAATCCCTCTCTGGATATAAAAATACTTTTTCAGATGTATTCTCGATTCAGTTTGTGTTTTTCATTGAACATGGTCACAAAACACTTAGTTACTAAGTATCTCTTGGTATTGTTTAAGAATATTATATTTTAAACCTAATTCTAATAATATCAAGCGTTATATTATTTCACTACACTAATTTAAACACTTCACTTTCTTTTGAAAGTGGCTTTCTCTATGTGCTTAATTAAAAAGAAAAACCTATCTTTTTCCAACAGGACAGCGGGTAGTGTAATAGGGACAGGATTGAATGCTTTGGTGACGGACTGGGATAAGACGCTTGCAGCTGCCGGTGGTCTATCCCTACTAGCTCTGGGAGTGTACACGGCTAGAGGCGCTACGTCGGTTGCTGCTAGATTTATTGAGGCTAGGATTGGTAAGTTTTGCTTTGGTTGCAGATTTCTACAATATTACTAATATAGTGTCGGCTTAAGAAATTCGTCTTGGTAAATATAAGCTCATATACAAAGTGAGCGTATATTTCGATTAGTTCTATTGAAACACTGCATACGTTTACAATGCCGCAATGTGTATTTAAAAGTTGCAAAAATAATGGTTGTAAATAAAATTATTAGAAGTCTATGTCTCTGTGCCAAATTTCATCGGGATCCGGTCAGCTGTTCTGGCATGATTGAATAACAAGCATCCATCCAAACTTTCGCATTTATAATATTAATGGGATGATGGGATGAGTTATGAAGAAGCACAGTTATAATCTGGAATTTAAAGCATTACTTTGATTCTATTTTATGAAAATTTCTAATAGATTATATGTAATATATACATATGTTCCTATTTTTTTGACTTACACATGTATAGTAAAACTTTTTAGTAAATTTTAATGAAATCTAATTTATTAGCCCTACACCTAAAGTATTTCATGAATCATATTATATTCATTCATAAATTTTTAGGTAAACCAACACTAGTGAATGAAACATCAAGATTCTCTTTGTTAGAAGCCGTCAAACATCCAGTTTTGACAGTGAAGAAAGCCATTTCCAGTTTTAAAAAGCCCTCAGACGCGTTGGCTGGTGTAGTTCTGGCTCCTACATTGGAAAAACGTCTTAGAGACATCGCCATAGCCACCAAAAATACTAAAATGAACAAAGGTTTCTACAGGAATCTACTCATGTATGGACCTCCTGGTACCGGTAAAACTTTGTTTTCTAAGGTGAGTGTAGTTATATTAATATTAATAAAAAGCACTCATGAGGACTGCCGACACAAGTGAAAACTTAAAACTGTAAACAAGCAGTTGTTATTTTTGGATATTCAAATTGTTTGATCTTAAATTAAAATTTGTAAATTTAATCAATTTACAAATTTTTTATCTGGTTTTGACATCTATCGGCACTCTTAGTGTTAGCATTAACACGTCACGTGACCAAGTCGATGACGACTTACATGAATTTACTCCCCGTCCACACCTGCCTATAGAAGTTTTCACGTCAATAATGTTTTTTCTTTAACAGAAATTAGCGAAGCACTCTGGAATGGAGTACGCCATAATGACAGGTGGTGATGTAGCACCTATGGGGAAGCATGCGGTCGCTGCCATACACAAAATGTTCGACTGGGCCAATACCAGTCGGAAAGGTAATAAATATTATAGTACATAGCTTCTTTATAATGATTTTAAATATGTTATACAAATATTTTTGAATTGCTTTTGGCATATTTAGGAAAAATTATAAGTGTAAAATTGTTACGATGCGCGCGCACACCGACAGCCAAAAAACGACATGATGAAGTTAGTAGCATTCCTTTTATAAACAAAGAGTTGTGACATACGAGATGAAATCTTTAGCTATTTTTATATACATAAATACACACACGTTTTTTTAATATTTCTCTTTGGAACCTGTATTAATATGGCTAGTACTCGTAGAGTTTATTGACCTATAAATTTATTATTTACAGGTGTACTTTTATTCATCGATGAAGCAGACGCGTTTCTACACAAGCGTTCTTCAGCACAAATAAGTGAGGATCTTCGAGCTGCACTCAACGCTTTCCTCTACCGTACATCAGATCAAAGCAGTCGTATCATGTTGGTACTTGCTTCCAACACACCTCAACAGTTTGACTCGGCCATTAACGACAGATTAGATAAGATGATCGAGTTTGGTCTGCCAGGATTCGAGGAGAGAGAACGTTTGATTAGATTGTACTTTGACAAATTTGTGCTACAACCAGCTTCGGAGGGAAAACGGTATGCCATTGTACACTTAAATATGTTTACAATTACGATAGATATTAGAGATAGAAGTTTGACATAAGCCCCATATGAATTATAGTCGGCTCGGTAGTCTAGTGGCTAGCATGTACGATTGCAATTCCGGAGGTAGGTCCTGGGTTCGAGTCCCGGGTCTTGCCAAGTTTAGTTACTGATAATACTTTCTTAGATTTACGCGAATACTTGACATTTTGAATAAAACTATCTTTTCGGATTTTTTCGCTAATTTATTTTTGGTTCCCGACGTTTCGAATGCTTTACAGCAATCATGGTCACGGGAGAGAGTGAGGTGTTAGATGTCTCTAAGGTATTATATAGTTGTTACAGACAGCCTACCCACAAATAACAAATTGAAAAATGGCCAAAGTACCTTACAATATTTTAACTTTTAACTTTAAACATTTTTATATAATTTTATATAATTTTAATTAGCTTTATAAAAAAATGTTGGAGTTGGGAAGTTGGAAGTGTTTCTCCCCCATAAGATCTCCCACAGAAATAAAGTGAAGTCGTCGTTTACTACGCCTTAACTCTCACCGGTCGTGTCTCGAGTCATCCCACTGGAGTATGAAAGTGTCAGGAATAGAGAGTGCACGTTGTGTCTGCGAGTTCACTCACACACGCGCTTCACTACAATACAATAATATCTCTTGCGTTCAAAGATTGGATGTCGTTGCCGAAATCGGTCGGGAGAACATTAAAAGATAAATATATAAACAACACTAGCGATCGACCCTCGCTTCGCTTCGAAAAACAAATCTATCCCACGGGAACCGTCCATTTTTCCAGGATAATAAGTATCCTATGTGCTATTCCAGAATATATCTACCTCTGTGCCTTTCATTCAGATCTGTTCACCCGTTTTAGCGTGATTGTGTAACATCCATAGGATCAAACTTTCGCATTGTAGTAAATTATAACAAACAAACAATTAATGTTATTACTAACTAGCGAAGGTACGTCTCCCTTGGTACGTTTTAATTTTTTTTGGCGAAACCCTAATTCTTTTTCTAAAATAGAAGTAGCATATGTTACTCCCTATAACATCAGCTATCTGCCAGTGAGAGTTCCGTCAAAATCAGTCCAGCCGTTTCAGAGATTATCCGGAACAAACAGACAGGCAGACAATTTAAAAAAAATGTTTTTCTTATAAGTACCGTGTATAATTTCATATGCATTTAATAAAACGCTGTTATTTTGACATTACAAACAGACACTTCAATTTTATTTATCTGTATAGATAATAATGGTATGAAATATTTCAGGCGTCTGAACGTTGACCAGTTCGATTATGGCGCTCTATGTACCAATCTGGCTGCTCGCACTGCGGGTATGTCGGGCCGGGCGCTGTCCAAGCTGGGCGTGGCGTGGCAGGCGGCGGCCTACGCCTCCGATAACGGCACACTCACCGAGCAGATGTGCATTGATATATGTGATGATGCTGTGCAGGATCATAGGCAGAAGGTAAGATATAACAGAAGGGTTATTGACCTGTGATGAATTGAATGTGAGTGACCTTTGATGAATTAGATGTCAATGACCTTTGTTGAATTGGATGGATTATTATATTGAATGTATAGTTGTACGGCAAGGCACTCTCACCAAGCAGCAATGCATCTATATATATGTGATGATGTACACAGCATCATCAGGGTTGTAGACAGAAGGTAAGATTCAAGAGAAGGGTCATTGACCTTTGATGTACTGAATGGGCTATTTAATTAAATTCCGTGTTTAGTTGGATAAAGATAATGTGCATAACAATGTGTATGTGACATAACAGGATGATGGTTAATCCCTCCACGACCGCGGACACGCCGGCGTGTCAGTTAACAATAGATTTCTTAGAATTTAAATTAATTTCTTAGAAATTTACCTGGAGGTGTTAATACATTACAGGTTACTGACAATTTCCATTTGACGAAATTAGTATACACATGTATTTTGTAAGATTCATCAAATGTCATCATTTATTTTAAATTATGATGATTATCAATATGCAATTGTGCGTCTACACTTACGATAATGTGGTATGAAATCCTGACACAGATAAAGGTTTTTTCTGGGGTTTTGGGGCCATGGACCTATAGCATTCCAATGAATACTTTTTTTTTATTATAAGTATGCAATAAATGTCATCCGAATATAGTTTCACTTAAGAAGTTCTAGCCAATTAATGTGTCTTATACATAATTTGTTTACCGAAAAAAAAACAACCAATGTAATAATTGTTGACGACACGTTTGGTTCAGTTTGTAGTTACCTCACTTGCTGTGACAGCAGTAGCGGGTTCGACTCCCGCTGGGGATATCGTTTGTGTGATGAGCATGAATGTTTGTACTCCAGTCATGGATGTTTATATTTATAATATCTATGTATTTAAAGTTATATACGTGTAGACTATCTGGTATCCATAACACAAGCCTCGCTTACCATGGAACTAGATGGTGCTGTGTATTAATGTCACAACATATACATATATTTATTTATATTTATTATTAACAGATGGAATGGCTATCAGCTGAGGAGAAGACTAGGAGCATGATGCCATATTTATTGGATTTACCACCTCTTGATGAGCCCAAGGAGAAGGTACACAAAGCTACCATCACAGAAATTGAAGATGAAACAAATGTTAAGGAAGCAAAGGTCAAGTCAGCCAAGAAGAAGTCCAAAGAAATGGAATCGGACAAGTGACACACCAACACAACAAACGTCTCAACTATAAACAAAAACTGTGATAAAAAACAGTGCATCTACGACTTTAGTGATTCAAAAAGGAATACAGAAATATATATTTCTAACAGTGTAATGGAAGTGTTGCATAATTTAGCTTTGAGAATGAAAAAGAAATTAAAATAAATAATTGTTATTTTGTTTTTTTTAGAATTTGCTTATTAGAAGTGAACGATATAATTTGCTGTTATTGTACAAATTATTATTATAGGTATACATTATGTATAATGCATTTTTGGATTTAAAGAAAACTGTATGTTTGTACGTAATGAGGGAATTTAGGATAGTACGATTCTAATCTATACATATAATAAAATCGTAATTGATCGGTGTCTGTATATGGAAGATATTTGAGAAAAACTATTATTGGGGTTCTTTATTAACCTTATAGAACCCAAAACAATTATTATTAGAATTTATGTATAACGGTTTAACCGATTTGGGTGCGGTTTTCACTAATGTATTGTGGTAAGCTGCACTTAACATTTAATGTTTGTTTTAATTTAGTCGGTTTACAATTTAAAAAGTTTGTCAATTTAAACAATCACCTATAGACGAAGAAGCGAGTGCCAGTCGCTATTCAAGCATATAATGACTGTTTATGACTTTTTCCTGACATTTATTTGAGCATTTATAATAAAAAAATATGTTATAAAACGAAAGAATTACTGTATTATATCGATCACTTCTACTTTTCTCGTATGTTCCAAAAAATGAATAAATTGTCTCGACCTCCAGAACTTTGATAGATTTGATATACATTGACTACAATTACTATACAGCATTTATAATTTGTAATATGTATAGGTATTTTTACCATATATAATAATCTAAAATTCAAATAAACAACATAGATTGTAATATATTTTGCCAATCAAACTAATCATATACATGTATATTATAGTAAAGAAATTGATGGGAGTATGGTTAGGTTACTCGTAACTTAAATATAAATATTTTTCATTCCTTGAAAATGAGTATGATATAGTTCATGTTTTTACAAATATTGTGTTTAAAACTTATTCTCATTCTATAAACATTTTTTGCTTTGTAAGTATAAAACAATTTTCGTAAAGTATTGTAAATATAACGGCTCAATAACTAATTATAATCCATTCGCGTTAAGAAAATTGTGAGTCAGAAGTGCAACTGCAGGGTAAAGGTGTATTCACAGTGGAGTGAAAATTAAATTCAAATATATTTCAAAAGGTTAAGTTTAATGGATAAAAATCAACTTAATTATCTCAGATCAAAATATTCATCTATACTAATATTATAAAGAGGTAAAAATTTGTGAATTGTGAGTTTGTGACGTCTGAATCTACTGAACCGATTTGTATGAAATTTGGTAAGAAAATAGTTTGAGACCCGGGAAAGGACATAGGATACTTTTATCCCGGAAATCATCCCTAAAGAGGGCGAAAATGGGGATGAAAGTTTGTATGGGGAATCAACATAGGGACGAACCTTAGCGAAGCGAGGGCGAGTCGCTAGTTAATAATATATATAATCAGTATCACTAGAATCTTCGTTTATATTTATTATAAAAGAATCAAAATCACCTAAATCGCACAGTTTAAAGTACTTAAAAACATTGTAAATTACTCTTCTTTCTTTGCTAGGAACTATCAATCCACTTTTATTCTTACGAATAGGTGAGGTATATACAGATAAATCAAATTGAAGTGTCTGTTTGTAATGACAAAATAACAGCGTTTTACTAAATACATATGAAATTATATACAGTACAAAAGAAAAACACATTTTTTTAATTTTTGTCTGTCTGTGATTGCTCCGGATAATCCCTGAGACGGGAGGACTGATTTTGACTTGACTTTCACTGGAAGATAGCTGATGTTATAGGGAGTAACATAGGCTACTTTTATTTTAGAAAAAGAAGGGTTCCGCTCAAAAATATTAAAACGTACCTAGGGACGAATCCGAGCGAAGTGAGGGTGAGTCGCTAGTTTTTAAAATAATTGTAGGTAACGCATAAAGGACACAACTGATTCGTACAAAAGTCTTCAAATGGTCATTGTAACTTGACTTTATAATTTTTGCGAGCTAATTGGTCGGGGGCGTCGCTACGCCGGTGGACAACGATGACTCACTATTTTCTTAACGCGAATGAACTATATATAATATGTTATAATATATTGTGTTATATATTATTATTGTGCATTTCAACACTTAATGACGTACGAGTAGTACAATGATTTTGATGGCCGAAAATCTATACAGATAAATGGAATTGAAGTGTTTGTTTGTAATGTTAAAATAACAACTCTTTAAGAAATGCATAAGAAATTATGTAAGGTACATATAAAAACAATTTTTTTTTGTCTGTCTGTTTGTTCCGGCTAATCTCCGAAACAGCTGGACTGATTTTGACGGGACTTCCACTGGCATATAGCTGATGTTATAAGGAGTGACTTAGGCTACTTTTATTATAAAAAAATAAGGGCTCCGCTCAAAAAAACGTATCATAGAAAACAATAAAATTAAAAGAGGATAAATACATTAAAATTTATATAGAAAGGCTTGTTCCTGTATTGTTATATCAGCACTTAGTTATAATACATAGCTCTATGTATGCAACGAGTTTTGTTTGTGGCCACAACTGATTTTGAAATACCAAAGAAAATCTGAAGAATCATTTTTATTCAAATATATATAATAATTATTAAGAGAACAAGTAGCTAGTTTTAAATATAAATTAAAACACACAATTCATATATTTTCTAAAACCCTATTTTTATTATAGTTTAAAGTCAGCAGCAAAACAACAAAAACTCGATTTTAATATTCTTTTATTTTAAAAGAAAATATTATTTTCTAATTGTCGTTATTTATAAAGCATGAGTATATTACTTGTATATGGCTTATATGTTCGGTGCTTAGAAGTAATTGGTTGTTTGGTTCACTTTATAAAGTGGGGGGAATGATGTAAAGTCCCGCCCTGTAAGTAGGTAGATGTAATAATAAATTTCTGTTTAAATATATTGGTGTTTTATTTTTGCTGTTATGAATTCTTTTATTGTATATAGTATACTATACGCAACGAGACATTTTAAAAGTATACAACATCGATCGAAAAGCACTCGATACACAATCCCATACAAAAGTTATCTTAAAACTGTCACCAATTGTGATAATTAAATGACAATTCTAGTTGAAATAAATATAGAACAATATAAATTGAACCTTAAATGCAAAACTTTAAAGTTGTTTTCACAAAAAAATTAAAAGCTCAAATGTTCAAATGAGCGCTTATTCAGTGTGGACATTTTTCTTTTTTGATAGATGGTCGACTCTGGTGTATGTTAATCTATATCAGCGCCGATTTGGACAATTATACCATGATCCTTGTATTTAATTAACAGATATAAGTTTCAAAAAAATAAACATCCAATAGGACGAAAAGTCCTTTCAAATGTCGTCAGGGTGTTTTCTATTTAAAAATTGATATCAAATCAAATATTATCTGGAATAATCTATACTAATATTATAAAGAGGTAAAGTTTGTGTGGTTGTAAGGGGTAATCTCTAAATCTACTAAATCGATTTAGATCAAATTTGGTAAAAAGATACTTTGAGACCCTGGAAAGGACATAGGATACTTTTTATTCCGGTAATCATCCCTTAAGCGGTTGAAAATGGTGATGAACGTTTGTATTGGGAATCAGCGTTCGTAAGATACGTTTTCGTTCAACCGTTTTTTCTCCGACTTTGCAAATTCGACTACCATGAAAAAGTCTTTTCATTCTTCGGGTTTATATATAGCCTATGACACTCAGAAAGAACGTGGCTTTTTTTTTGGTAAAAGAATTTTGAAAATCGGTTCAGTAGATCCAGAGATTACCCCCTACAACATCACAAACTCACAATATCACAAACTCTACCTGTTTATAATATTAGTATAGAAAATGAAAATAACTAACGAGTCCGTAAACAAATGTGAAAGGATCAATACCGGTTGAAGTAGCAAGGAGCGATCTCGGCACCAAACCCATCTATTAAATAATAATAATGACGTATCCACTACAAAATAATATTTTATTTTCAAAAATCGAGTAGATATTTAATGCCGTTTTTAAATAAATCACTCTCAAAGTATAGAACAAACACGGTAAGAAATTCTGTACTATACAAATATAAAATAAGGGAATTAAAGTCAGGTAATTTATGAACAAAAAACATTTATTCCAATCATAATCAATAGAATAAATCCTAATAATAATTTTAAATTCGTATTTAACATTGTAGAATATAACGATAGCACTACGACGAAGGGCAAAAATAACAATAAATTACAATAAGACCAGATTTAAATTACCTACTTTAATTTTTAGAATAGAAACCGTACAAATATAATATATCAGTTACTAAAAATGAAAAATATAATCTTTAATTTAAACTTAAAATAAAGTTACTAACGAAATACACCAGTGTTTTTTTAAGAAATCATAATTTGGTAATAATCGATAAAATTATATCAAAATAGATATAGTAACAAGTTATATTGTATTATAAATATGTAAACACTCACAGATGTAACAATAAATTAAATAGCACGACTAACGGTGAATTCCAATAAACTCTATGGTTTTGCTTAAATAGGAATCTTACATAATTTGTATGGAGCACAAGTCTTTAGAAAAAAAACACATATAGATAAGTTATTGGGAACAACCGCGAATCCATTCTAAAATAGAGGTTTATTTGTTATCTTAGACATGAATACAAATATATATATTACATAATATTTGCCTATAATAATGATTTACCTAATTATCATTTCGTCACAGCTCAAGTTCTAACCAAGGCATTTAACATTCGCAGCCAATATTTTTATAAGGCAGGGACGATGGTGACGTTTTAAATGATTAGATAGAATATTTTTTACTTATATATATATATATATATATATATATATATATATATATATATATATATATATATATATATATATATATATATATATATATAAGTAATATCTTGAAGTAAAAAATATTCTATCTATCTTATTTATATATATATATATATATTATATATAAATATATATATATATATATATATATATATATATTATATAAATAAAAACGAATGTTCGTATGTTGTCCTCAATCCGTCTCTAAACCATTGATCCGATTGTGATGAAACTCTGGTGAGTTATTCTATATACGCCGGTCACGGTTCCTGGCGCAAAAAAAAACTTTGGTCAATCGTCTTTTACGCGTTCCTAAAGCATTCAAGCTAGGGGAATATTTTTACAAACCAAGGAGTGGAGCGAAGGTAAATAAAATCAAATAAAATAATAAAATAAATAATCAAATCACAAGTTTATTATATGAGAGAATAACAACGAAATTACATATTATTTAGGGATTAGAGGAGCAAACAGACAAAACTTTTACAAAAGGAATACCTTATTTATTAAAAAAAAGTTTGAGTTTGCTTTGGTATCTTACAAATATATACTGATTTTATATTACAAACGCAATGAGAGACATAACAAATCTGTCCTACAGGAACCGTACATTTTTCCTGGATAAAAGTAACCTATACGCAATTCTTTTACCGTAAAGAAATTATTTTACTGTAAAAGCTGCAAAGCTATGGAATATGCTCCCCCATGATGTTCGCCATTCAAAGTCACTAAATATTTTTAAACGTCTAACTAATTATTATCTGTCTTGTTAGTTATTGAGTATATATGTATATACTATGTATTCATATGTATTTATGTATCTATATGTATGTATGTATGTATTTAAGTATCTGTGTACGTATATATTATACGTGTATGTATATATTTTTTGTTTTATGTATGTATTCATGTTTGTAAACGTAGTTCATCATGTCTGTATTTAGTGTTAATTGTACCGTCCCGTCTTCGATTCTTCTAATCCTCTCAACAAAGGTTGTCTGTAAGAGATTGCTCGTAGCAATAAGACCGCCTTTGCATGCCTATTTGTTATTTATTTTTTTTATTTTTATCTTCTGTACTCTTTTTTTGTGTGTGCAATAAAGAATTTATCTATCTATCTATCTATACGCTATTCCAGACTATAACCTATCTCTGTGTCAAATTTCATCCAGATCCGTTCAGCCGTTTTGACGTGAAAGAGTAACTAACAAACATCCATCCATTCTCACAAACTTTCCCATTTATAATATTAGTAGGATAGGATTTTCACTCTATCGTCCCTACCTGTAGGTAATTCAGCCTAACATTTTAGTTTCAGTACTAATAATATAAATACAATTAATATTTTTGAAATTATACTTCTATTGGCACGCTTGGAAAAAATTATGAAAGTAAAATTTTACGATGCGCGAGCACACCGACAGCCAAAAAGCGACATGATGAAGTTAGCTGCATTCCTTTTACAGAGTGTTGTGAAATACGGGATGAAGACTTCGAAGCTATTTTTGTTACGTTACGCCAAAGAAGTATAACTTCTTACGTGCGTACATAAGTACACACACACGTCTATATATATATATATATATATATATATATATATATATATATATTTACTAACAACTAATTATATTACAGATAAGATATTGCAACGTAACTTAACATTGTAATTAATTCGCTTTAGCTCATCAAGGGAATGATTTTATTTCGCAGAGCAATCTCATACAACTCATATAAATTACAAATTTTATTTATCAGTAAGATCTTTGTTTTGCAATTTAAAACATTCATTTGACATAACTCTAAATGCTTTGGAAGTAATTAGCATAATTTCACTTTGATATTATATATATTTTTATATTATAAAAATATAAGTAAAATAAAATGAGCAATAACTCAAATACTTCTTGATAATAGGGGTGGCACATTAGAGTTTTATGTTTCACAAATAAATAATTTAATATATAAATATATATCTCCGAAACGGCTCCACCGATTTTAATGATTTTTTTGTATGTTAGAGGTATGAGAATATCTAAAGTATTTTTCACCCTCCTACCCCATTTTTAATCGCGATTATAGTGTTTTTGTATGAACAATAATATATAAATACATACATATATTGCTGTACAATATATTGCCACATAGTTTTTTTTCTAGATTGAACGCGTACGTAGCCGCGAGTTCCGCAGGTAGTATATAAAAATCAGGTTAGCTTTTAATCAGTGTACATTTCTCACATAATAATATTCAATAAAAACATGAATCAATATTTATATGTATGAGTCATGATGAACCATTAGTTTTTTATCTTAGATGAAAGTTGTTCTTTGTTTGAACAGCTTCACCGACTGCTTACATTTTTATCTAATTGATAATGTACTGATAATGGAACAAGACATTTGAAAAAAATGACTAAATGTGTTGCTAAGCGCAAAACTAGAGAACGGTTATTTTCTTTTTCATTCATTGTAGTCCGAAAAAGGTTCTTATGAAGAGAAAACTTGGAAAAATTTCATGACAAAACATAAAAACACCATTTTACTAATCTTTCTACCGATATAATGTATTCGTACGATAATGTATACATAGAAAAATATATTTAATATGGCAATTAAATCATGGTAAGACTGAATCGAGCCCATAGAAAAATATTTTATATAAAAAAAAGCATGAATAAAATATTCATGTTAAAGCAGTAGATGTGGAGAAAAGTGAATTAATAAAAAAATATGGATCTAATATCATTATAATGTGAATAATATGGTCAATATATCATAGTCATTACTCATTAGAATGTAATCTCATACAAAGAGGGCACATGACTAACATAATATACGAAGGCTATTGATAAAGCCTTATTTCTGCCACAATTAACAAACAAAAATTCTTGTATGATTTGATCTTTTCCTTATATATTCTGAAATTATACTGGATGTTTGATAAGAAAACACATGAATGATAGAAAAAACATTTAGGTTTAACAGTTAACTGGGAACTGGTCTAACATTTCATCCAAAATGAGACATTTCAGTAACCTTTTAATATAGAGTGTAGGATTGAAGCACTGTCATTTTTAAATATATCGTGTAGTAACATAAGAACATTAATATGAAATAAAAAAGAAAAAGCTTCTATATGCGCTCCATATAAAAAAAAACTGAAAACTTGAACGAAAACCTCAGTTAGACCAAAGTTTGGCGTCTCTATGTAGTATTAATTGTAGTTTTTTTTCTCTCATAAATATATTATCTTATCAGGCACACTGTCTACTTTCAGAATATGCCAAAGAAAGATCAAACCGTATGACATTTTTTTTCATTATTCGGGAGCAGAAATGAGACCTTATCGAATCCCGTCCTTTAAACCTCAAAATCCTTTATATATTTAATTATACCAAAATAATGGTACAACAGTATCGAAATAGAAAACAAATATAGTATTTAGAATATTCACTTACTAACTTAAAAACAACAGTAACTATGAAATGGAATAGTAAGTTAATACTTAGCCAATACCTTATACTTATAGGTATTGCAAAAGTATATTTAAAAATTACATCCTCACAATTTCTAATACATATAACATAATGATATAATATGTTAATTAAAAATTATCTATCAATTTAAAAAGATCATTTTAGTGTTTTAGAAGTCATAATCAAAACATTAGTATATAAAAAATTTAGTTCTTCTCTTATAATAACTGCCATGTACCCCGTTATAATATACTGATTACGTGTAAGTATCTAAAACATCAATAGAATTTGACAGACAGATACACTTTTATGAATGTATTAGTAGTTACCTAATATTTAGTTACTTCTTATTCCTGAACAGCATGAAGTCTGAGCTGGAGCCTCATCTTCCACAACTAAGACTCTTGATGTTCGGTTTACATCAGCTTGATTATTCTGTTCAAAATGTTCGACCATTTCTCGAGTTAACTCTAAAAACAATTCTTCAACACCTTGGTTAAATTTCGCAGATGTGTAGAAGTGTTTTGCTCCAACCATTTTTGCATAGCTGAAATATTTTATAATAATTTACATTATTTTTATACAATACTAGAGACTCATCCTCGCTTCACTAGGGTTCGTCCCTAGCTTGCTTTCCTATACAAACTTTCATCCCCATTTTCACCCCCTTAAAGGGTGATTTCCGGGATAAAAAGTATCCTATGCCCTTCCCAGGCTCTCAAACTATCTTCTTATCAAATTTCATCTAAATCACTTCAATAGATCCAGAAATTTACCTCATACAACGTCTCCACACTTTACCTCTTTACAATATTAGTATAGACTAGTGACTCACCCTCGTTTCGATCAGGTTCGCCCTTAGACTATATATTATACATATTATTTTTTTCCAGCTTAAACTTGACGCATTATTGTAGATGGTAGGTCCGTCACTATTGAAATTATCCGAACTTATCGATTTTCCAGCTGTTCTTTTGAGTTTTCCCTATTTTGTATATCCCTTGATAAACCCCCGATAAAACAAAACAAGAACTATATAAATCGGTCTAGCCGTTTTTGAGCTATATATATATATAAATTTTGCTGTTTGTTAGTCTTGCTAAAACTATATCAGAATTTTTAATTTTTTTTGTCTATTGAAACATACTTTTCAGCTTCATCTAATGGCACTGTCCTTTCAAGCTCCATATCGATTTTATTCCCCGCAATCACCAGCACTATATCTGCTCCAAGCATTTTTCTCAGCTCTTTTACCCAATTTTTTACCTGAAAACGGTAACAAAGTTACATAAACAAAATGAAAATTTACAATTTAGTACAGTAATTATTATTCAGGTTTATTATTCTAAAATAATGTCCATACAAATTATACTATGTGGTTATTTTTTTATCATTTGACGTTTTTAAGAGATTATTTTATTATCAGTTCAATTTTTCCAGTTTAATAATACCTCATCTTTTAACCTCTACTGGTGACAGGAGAGCTGGCTCATTTCCACCCAAAGAATTGGAATTGCCATTAGCGGGATAATTCAATTAGCATTCTTGCCACATTTGTGGGAGGAGAACTTATACAGTAATTATTATGTACATCAGTTTTGTATTTATAATTACCTAAGTATTTTTGTAATTTCAATGTATTTCCTATATTGTATTTCATTTAATAACAATTGGGTTTATCTCAATCGTTATTTTTTTATGATAATGTTGATTTCAATTATAACCAGAGTGTGTATAATACTTGTATCATGTAGTTAAACCCAAGGTCTCAAATTGCACAGTAAATTTCACAATGGATCATGCAATTGTAGTTTTCATTGAGTCTTTCCGGTCAATACTACATACTATTTTATAACTTAATATAAGATCATTTACATACTGGTTTAATTATCTATCTTAAACATTTAAGATCATAGTACAAAATTACAATAAGTAATAGTACAAAAATTAATTTAAATGAATTTACCTTGCCAAAAGATTCTTCATCTGTGATGTCATAGACTAAAATGGCTCCATTTGAGTTTCTGTAATAAATAGGTCCTAGTGCATGGAACCTCTCTTGACCAGCTGTATCCCAAATAGACAGGTTGATACGTTTACCATTGATGTTCAGTTTTTTGTTTAAGAATGTAGCCTGTACATGATAGTTGTTTTAATTCACAAATAATATATCAATATGTAAACAATGTAAAAGAAGGCAAGGAGTTTAGTGAAAAGAAAACATTTAAAGCTGAAAATATCTTACTGCATGACTAGTTCTCGACTAATTTGATTATACATAAAAATATCATCATTCTCACATACTAATAAATATTATATTGGTATGTAAAGATTAGTCAATCTAATAACATTCAATGATAATAACAGTCAATGATACATATAAAAAAAATACTTAATATTCTTGTAAAATATAAACGAAGAATAAATTATTCGTTGTACCTGTAACGTTGTCAAGTGTTTATCATTAAATTTGTCTTCGATGTACCGAAGTAGGATTGAAGTTTTGCCGACACATCCTTCCCCCAATAATACCACTTTAAAGTTACGTGTTCCATTCGATGCCACTGACGAGCTCATTTTTAATGTTTAGAATTCTTCTAGAAGTATAGTAATTGGATATATTCTTTATAAGCTGTGTCACGCAAGTTACACTAGTATTATTTATAAACACATGAACAGTTTAATAAGTCTGAAAGTATTAATTTGTATCCATTAATATTTGGTATAATTTAAAAGAACAACAACTAATTGTAGATAATATTGCACATCATATATCGATAAACGACGTCGCAAACAAAATCAAATCTCAATATTATTAGAAAATGACTTATGACAGCTAGGGTTTAGTGCACACAGATAATCTTTTTTTTCTATTTTTCTAAAAGAGCAAAAATATTGGGGAAGAATTTTGTCTTTTTCTCACGCTAGATGTCGCGATCACTATGGCAATCACTATATTGTAATGCTTTATAGCGTTGATCGAATGGGGAAGATTTCTCGAAAGGAGGCGATTCATTTTATTTAAAATTTAATTAAAATGACTAATTGTGCAACGCCAGGATGCAAAAAACAAAAAGAAAAAAACTGAGGAAATTGTGGGCACAATAAGGACACCAAAATTGGCGAAATCACAATCCTTAAATTTAAGGCTATGTGGACATAATTTTAATGAAAGTGATTTTAAAACTCTGAAATCGTCTACAGATGAATATTTTTTTTAGCTTTGTACTTTTTAACATACCTATTAATAATTACAGAGTTTCATACAAACTTTTATTCCCCCTTTTACCCCCTTATGGGAATGTATTTCGAAAATTGCTAAAATACGTATTTATTTAATTGTATTGAAGAGCATTAATACCAAGTTTCAAATATTTCTGATCTTAAATAATTCTTTGCCCATATAAACTTTATTACACCCTTTTACCCCTTTTAAGGGATCAATTTGAAAAAAAATCGAATAAATATACTTATTTTATTTTATCTTAAAGCTAAACACCTCTCTCTTTGTATTTCACATTAAGAATGACAGAGTTTCATACAATCTTTAATCCCCTTTCGAGAAATCTTTCCTGTCGTCGTTGTTGATGTTATTATTCATCTATAATTAGAACTTTCAATGTACTTGAAATTAACTCTGCCTTGCTTACTCTTAATAGATTTTGATGAAATTTTGCAAAGGCTGAAATTACATCTTAGGATCGATCCTATGTCCGTATATACATACATAGTCTACAAATCACATGCAAAAACTAAAAACTTATAGAGCTACATATTATGTGCAATTTAATATAATAATAATGTACTTATTGGAGCTACGTTACCAATCTTAACCAAGTTCTTAACGCTCTAATTAGTAGAGTCTACTATAAGAACTGTGTAGTTTCCTTTTCAAAATGAAATTTCCAAATGCATTTTTTGTGCACACTTACGTGCATATGAGTCGTAAAAACTAGATTTTTCTCTTATTTGCTATTTTTTGGATAAACTGTAAAAGGCTATGGCTCGCCAATTTCGCCAAAAGCTCAATGAGTTCTGTCATCGAAATTGGCGAGCCCCATATCTTGTTAAAGTATAATATAGTAGGTATATAGACAAAAATCAAAATAATAATAAAATATCATTTTAACATCATAATTCTATTAATTCATTTTTAATTATTACGGCGTCTCCACTTAAAATACAACAAGTGTAATTTTAGTCACTTAATTATGATTTTTTTTAATCAAGGCATAATGAATTTAGAACTATTTATAAGTCTAAATTGAGTGTTTAAATTATATGTTAAGTATAAAAATATATTACAAATTCACGTAAGGTCAACAAATACTGTTGTTTTTTTTGAATTGCTAGATGTATTCAATACAAGTACTGGGGTATGGTTGGTTTTTATTATGTTTTTAACTTTGTTGAACCAATCAATAGCGTTAGTTACATTTTTAGTTTCCATTACATAAGTTTCAACTTTTGTTCCGATTGTTGATTTTGATGAATCAATATTTGAACTGTTTTTAAAAGTACGAGTACTTGTTGTTTCTATTCGAATGCGTATGTTAGCATTGACTCTTTTAGTAGGCTTTACTTTTTTTATAGTTTTAGCATTACTTGCCTCAATGAGAGCTTTTGTAGGTCTTGAACAATCTTTTTTGCAAGCGGTTTTTTATTGATTTTCGTAATATCAATTTTTTTATTTATTTTATTTACCTTATTGATTTTTTTTATTTTTAATGTTGTATCCTTATAAATTTTTCTTTGAACGATTTTTAAGGAATTATTTTGTTTACGTGTTGTTATTACTATTATTTTGCGAGAGGTACCTTTCCTTTTTCTATTTTTCATAAAAGAACTTTTTACTTTTGCTTGTGATGGTTTATTTATAGCATTTTTTTTATATTTCTTTTGTTTTCTATTACTATTGTTATATATGATATATTTTGTTGTGTTTCTATATGACATAGTTTTTGATTTTTTATTGTTGATATTAGTATGAATAGTAGTTTTTTTTGTAAATGTTTTATTGATGTTATTATTTTTGTGAGTATTAGTGTAATACGTATTTTTAAAAGATGAATTATTTAAGGACCTTGTTCTAATATTAACACGTCTTACGTTGCCTAGTATATTACCACGTAAAGTGTACTTTATCCAGTATACCATAGGACTAAGTAAAAGAAACACTCTGTTAGAGTTCATAGGAGTTAGAGAATAAATGCCTTTCATACCAATAAGTTTCGTATTTATAAATAATGGCGTGCCTTGAGGAAGTTCATATTCTTCATAATCTTCATCAGAAGTGCATATATAATAAGCGTTTTCAAATTCTTTCTCACATCGTTTTATTATACTAGTTTTAAATTTGCTATCGTCATTTATTTTTGGAAATGAAGCGTGCGATCCGATTAAGACACTTGTATCGATATCTAACAAGTTCTCATACTTCTCGTTGCTATAATAATCTCGTTGTATATAATATTTTAATTCTAAGAGGACAATAGTATCAGATCCTGCAAAGCTATAGGTTAGTGCGAAAGTTTTCGGATTTGGGTACTCATGCACATGAGAGATGGGAACTTCTTTATCACCTATTTCGACGGAATTACACGTTTTTGCACAGTAACTAGTGGTTAATACGTGTCTGGACGACAAAATTACACCAACACAACATTGATTCCAATTTGGTAGACATCCATCACAGATTAATCGCACGAATTTGTTTGTACATATACTTTGAACACTGTAACCATTTAAAGTCAAAATTATATGACACGTAATTAACAGTAACATCACTAATGCAAACAATAATTTGTACAAATAATATTTCAGCGAAAATTCTTAAAATATATTATATTTTAAGTCGTGTTATTTCTTATGATAATTTTCAATATTTATGCTCCTCATTGCATTTGTAAGTAATCATGTCTAAACTGTTCTTAGATAAGTGAATTTCTATAAAGTAATCTATACATATAATAAAATTGTAACTAAGCCGAATCTGTACTTAGATATTTTTTGGAAAATCTTATTAAAATAGAAATTATTATCGATACAGAGGCCGAATCTACAGTTTTTAGAATTTTTGTCTGTCTGTCGGTCTGTTGCCGCATCACAGAAAAACTACTGGATGGATTTTGATGAAATTTGGTATGGTGATAGCTGGTTATCCGGGTCAACATATAGGATACTTTTTACCGCGGAAAAATATCTCATTTTTGAGAATTTTTTTTATAAGAGTATACTAATATGTTTTTACATAAGAATTTGGTTTTTGTTCATCTAAACGCGGGCGGAGCCGCGGGCAATCCTAGTTTTAAATATCCTTTTTGTATTTTCTTCTTTTATAGCTCGTTTTATTTTTATAGTACAGCTCTATATTACTTCTGATATGAATATTATTATTGGCAAACAATAATATATAAGAACATATGGCTGTGTATATTCAATTTTCATGAATGTTTTTTTACATAATATAACAAATTTTACCAACTGCTAATCATTTGGTCGAAAAAGGAAAAACGTATATTTTACAAGATAAAATATATGTTTAATACATCTTAATCAAAAGAATTCATGATATACGAATAGGCAATCAATATATGAAAATCTCTTAAAAATAAAGTTTAAGTTGCTTGATGTACCCGTCATTTAAGGTTTTGACTAATTTAACCAGAGCCGGATTTAGGGGAGTTATATAAGGAGGGGCTGGAGCCTGGATCTTCCTACGAGTACATGAGAAGTGGGCGACTATAATAGAAATCTCCAATTATACGAAGTTCAATTTATGTAAAATTAATGAAACCATTTTTGTTGTTGCGTAAATATTGTTTGTTAATTTATTTGTTAGGGGGCATCCACTGATATAATATATTTTGTATATTAATAGTGAAGCCTTCACTTCTAGGCAATTAGCCTCGAAAATCGAAACTCCCACACTTTTAAATCCGGCCCTTAATTTACCTAAACAACATGTTTTATTATATGATTCCTAAAACTTCGAGCATTGCGAAACTAAATCACATTGTTAAATTTTATAATGTACACATTTATAGTTAACTAGCATTGCCCGCGGCTCCGCCCGCGTTCAGATGACCAAAACCAAATACTCAGGTTTTACATATTAGTATACTCTTACATTGCAGTTTTTATATTTTTTCTAAAAAAATAGATATTTTTCCGCTGTAAAAAGTATCCTATATGTTGACCCGGATAACCAGCTATCACCATACCAAATTTCATCAAAATCCCTCCTGTGGTTTTTCTGTGATGCGTTAACAGACAGACAGACAGAAAGACAGGCAGACAGAAAGACAGACAGACAAAAATTCTAAAAACTATAGATTCGGCCTCTGTATCGATAATAATGTTTATTTCAATAAGATTTTCCAAAAACTATTTAATGTAGAGATTCGGCTTAGTTACAATATTATTATATCTATATGTATAGATTTGTTACTAAACTTAATCGAGTTGGTTCGAAGGTGTTAATTAGAGCTTTGATGAGCTGACGAGCTTTGCTTTGTTACCGACTGTCCCCGAAAGTAAAGTTGACTTCAGCCTTCAAGACTGCAGTCAGGATATGGAACAGATATAAGCTAAAAAGTTTGCTGATCTAATAACTATATTCAAATAAATAATTTTTAACAAATTTAATGTCCATTTGGCATACAAGATAAGATTACCTATATAGGTATTAGCATATAGAGTGAGTATAATTTACACGTGGTCAATTTTTACTATTCGTTGTCTTACTTAAAAATTTATACTATACCTAATCGTATTAAAACCAAATTCACGTTACGTGACGCTTCTCAAGTGTATTACTATTTTTATAACATTTCTTTTGTTGAAATACCAACGTACCAACCATTTCTGTACCAACCATTTCTTTACTGCAAATGAAAATTGAAACTTATTACTATTGGTAGGTAATTCAAAATATACAGTTCTATATGTAAATATAGAATGAATGAACAGATTTACGGACGATTTCATAGATTTGAAGGGTAACTTAGTAATAAATTAGTATCTTGAACGTTTAAAAAAAAATATTGATGAAATATTCAAAAAAACATTATATAAAAAATATATTTAACCCTTAATTGTATTAAACTCACTTGAGTAAAACATTAGGTACCTATGTACAACGTACATATATATTATACATTTTATAAATTAATTTACAGCAATAAGCCATATGCCTAAATAGGTACAGGTTTCTCGTCTTTCTGAAAGTCCATTTTTTTAAAATAATAATCACAAAAATAAATCAAAGTATCATTAAGGTTTGTTAAAGCCGGAACATCAGCGTAAAAAATTACAATAAAGTACCTAAAACGGCTTACGTTTTTTATCTTAAACATGTAACATGTCTACTTTAGTAATCAGTTATTAACATACTATAAATGCTAATTTAATTGTGCGATCACATTTTAATCAGAGTCAAGTTATTTGTGTCAAGGCTTTTGTAAACACCTTTGTGGATCGTTCGATTCTGCGTCTGGTGTTCCCGATGTAGCTGAAGTGCTATTTGTAAAGACGTCTTTACATTTTACTAGCACATTTTACTATAAGCCTATTAAATGTTTTAGAATTAGTAGAAAAATATTTAGCACTAGCTACTCACTCTCGCTTCGCTTCGCGTTCGAAGCTTACCACAATGCATTAGTAAAAACTGCACCCAAATCGGTTAAGGAGTTTCTTAGATTAGCGCGCACAAACGTACAATAATACATAGTTTTTCTCAATTATCTTCCATGTACAGATAGCGACCAGTTACACTTTTATTATATGTATAAATTTGTCATTACATTATTATTTATTATTGTAAAACTACACAATAATATTTAATTAGACTACTATAAAAATGCGAATGCTTGTATCATTTGTTCATGTATCACGCTGGATGGCTAGACGGACTAGAAATTAAATACACACATAAACGCACCCGTGCGAAGCGAGGGTGAGTCGTCACTTATAATATTAATACTACTCGTATGCTTTAATAAATAATTAAATAACAGAAAAGATATCTAGATATTGCTGTTTTACAAATAGAATACATATTCGCTACAGTGTTCCTATAAAAATTAAATATTATATTTTTTTCACATATTATATGCTTAAAGTTGAAACAGTAGAGAACTAAAAAAGAAATCGCCTCAAAAGGTAGTCTCGAAACTCGAAAAGCAATAAAAAAGGATAGGATGGCTTATTCCAGCTTTGAACTTTATCTTGCAAAAATGGACATCGAATTTGTATGTATATATAATACCTACATAACACAATTAAATCGATAAATATGCGTGATTATCAAAATTTATAGGATGTCTACGTTTACAATTATTTAACGTATTTAAAATTTCAGTTAAAATTAAAAAATGTTTACAGTTTATAGATTTTAAATGTGCAATCTTTAGTTGAGTGTGAAGGATCATTAAAGTCGGTGGCGCCGGCGCCGCCAGCACATTCCACGCGATCCAGAGGAAAGTGCATCCATGAATATCCTCTCAATGAACTCGCATAAACATTAAGACATCACGCGCTACCGCCTCAAAATAGAGCCATTCCATTCATAAACAATACGTATCAGGCTATTTGATCAGCTTTAACGCATTACCATTAAATTAACCACTCGGAATTCGATATTCTGGCTCATGAGCCCCGTGGAAGCGATCTCAATAAATCACACAACGTCGGCCAGCTATGCGGATGGGCGGCCCATTAAAATACCAGTAATATGCCAACTTCAATATCAATCACGAACAGTTCCGATACTAAATAATAAGCAACTGACGTAGCTTGTGCGTAGACGCCGACGTCTGATATTGCTTATACTCGTACATAAAAATTACGCTACAACTGATATGCAAAGGAACTTTTCTCTTTGTCATATTAGCTTTATTTGCGTGTGTTTTCAGATGTTATTATATTTCAAGACATTATAAATATAAATAGTAGGGACAATGAAATGGCTATCTACATACATATGTTATGTTTCATGCGTAATAAAATGCGCCGTACATTTTATTAACTAAAAATATTTATTACAATAAAATTTTATTCGGAAAGCTGTGAGTTAGTGTCGTTGTTATTTCTTCATACGGTACGATACGGTACGGTGGTTATGCCATTAGTGTGAAGTTCAGATTAGGATAGAAAAGAGGCTAGTTTTTAAACAACTGCTGCGAAGTCGAAGCAAGAAGTGTGTGCATGTGTGTGAGTGTTTGCGTGTGTGTGTGTGTGTGTGTGCTCCTTTGTTCCCTCGTGATTATTAAACGGTTAAACTGAGTTTGATGAGTCGCATAACGTTATAATATTAAAAATAAAAAAATTAAAATGGCGGACCTCAGACGTAATTTTCTTTACCTTTTTTTTATAAAAAAATTCTTCCAAATCTATTGAGTGGGGTATCAAAATAAAGTTTTTAAGAGGCGGTCATAATCCAAATCAAAAATATATGTTTAAAGGTAATTTGGCAAAAGAAACTAAACAAAATTCAAAATGTCGAACTGGCTAGAACAAAAGGTTGTAAATAAAAAAAATATTATAAAAATTAAATAAAACCGACTGCGTTAAAAATGAATAAAAAATATGAGAACAAGTTGACAAAGGAACAGAGTATTATGCAGTAGAGTGGTAGAAAAGAGATTATTAAAGAATAATAATTTTAATAATAAATGTTATATTTTAACTAATAAATATTTTAAAGTTTAAACTGTATTATTTGTTATGAATTTTCTAACATTATGTAATTTAATAATTCTAGGAAAACATTGATAAAAAGGAATTATTTAAAAATATAAATTTTAATTTTTACCTTAAATATTTACTCATTCATTCATTCACTGGATACTTCCAGCGTAGTTTTGTATAGTAGAATAGGATCAACAGCCAAATATAAGTACTATATTATATTATAAATATAATATTGATCACATATTATATTGTAGAAGAAAAAATAAAAGATTTCTCATTTGCTTCTACGCATTTTATTTGTATATCAATACAAAAACAAAGTCGTCGAATAAAGGTATATATGCATTTATACAAACATGTTTATATTATTCTAATAAACTTTAAATGTAGGTGATCCATAAGTTTCATGTGGAACGCCCTGACTAGTTGCAATAAGGCTTGAATCATAGTTAGAGCTTGAGCTGCCAGAATCAGAATTGAATTTACCTGCGTCCGAACCACTGGAAGAAAAGTTACTAGAAACAGATTCATAGCCACTAGATTTACTTGACTCGTAACTGCTAGACCCTGAGCCGTTACCTGAACCTGAGCCAAAGTTAACGCCTGAATTAGATGGACTAACGGTACTTGATACACCAGTACCGAATCCAGATAAAAGTTCTGAACTGCCAGAAGCAGAATTTGCGGATAGCCCACTTGAGCTAGAACCGAAATTTCCGGAACCAGAAAGGTATTTATCAAAATTTGAAGTAATATCAGAACTAACGACTCCAGAACTAGTTTCTGGTTTGATGGAAGATGATTCAGAAAGAGATCCAGATGAAAGACCAGAATTACCAATAGAAATTGTACCAGATCCAGTATTGAATTTAGAAACCAAACCAGAAGAACCATAGTTTCCTGAGTTAGAACCAGCACCGCTTGTTCCAAAACTAGTAGAACTATATTTATTATATTTATTAGTACTACTGCTAGATCCAAAATTACCAGACTTTGATCCATAGCCTCCAGAGCTGGACCCGAAGTTACTACCAGTACCAAAACTATATTTGTTGGTTCCAAAACCACTTGAACCAGCACCTAAGCCTCCAGAACTTGATCCTGATGTGCTACCTGATCCATATGATGATCCATAACCATATTTATTGGCTCCAGCCAAGCCACTAATACCAGTACCAAAGCTTACAGTGGGTGTTCCAACTTTGTATACTGAACCAAGATTATATTTGTTGCTTCCTAAGCCATTTGTACCGGAACTAAATTGGGAAATAGTGTTACTTCCCAAACTGCTGAAACCAGAACCAAAACTTCCTGAATTAACTCCACCCGACGATAAAGTGGTTCCTAAACTGGAAACACCAGGTGCAGTGGTACTAGCCGTTCCAACGCTATATTTATTTAAATTAGAACTGCCGGCATTAACTCCTGAAGTATCATAATTATTTGAACTAGAAGTAAACTTGCTAGAAGTATATTCAGAGCTACCAAATCTTGAATTTACATTATCAGATCCTGATAAACCCGATAAAATATTGTTACCCAATGAACTAGATGAAAGACTACTATTCGAATCAAAAGCAGAGGAACCTGAGCTGAAGCTAGTACTTGGCTTGCTTGCAGACACGCTACCACTTCCAGATGATAAGCTGCTAGAACCGATATTTACAGTATTGGAGGATTCTTCTAGGGTACTAATAGGCTTTATAGTAGAACTAGAGAACCCATCGTATACATTAGAGGTAGTTCCAAAACTGGAGCTAGGCTTAGAAGTAAAAGTGCTACCTGATTCAAAACTAGAGCCAGATGCTAAGTTGCTATTGCTGCTTGAACTAAAACTACTTGGAGTAGTCGATGAAATTACTGTGGTACTTGGTAATGAGTAAGAAGTTCCTAATGCCGCAGATAATACATTCTCAGAATTTCCTCCGAAAGAATTTGTTGAAGATTCTGTGTCAAATTTATAATCGGAGTTTCCGATTCCTACACCAGAGAAACTAGCAGAAACTCCACCTTTGTTGTAGTCATTAACAATATTGTCGATCAAAACCTGAGAATCTTGTTTATCATTATATTTGAGGAAGAAAACATCAGGTTTAACTGGTGCTTTCTGTTCCAATTTAGGTAATATGACATTCTTTGCATCTTCAGGCTTTTTGAGAAGTACATAAACGATAGTCTTCTCTTCATTCTGTTGTGATACTGGAATGATTTGAGGTTCTTGAGGTTGTTGAGCTGGGGCCTTTATGAATATAATTTTATAATGCTTCTGTGGTGGTGGAAGAACTATAGGCTCATGAGATTTGATTGGTTCAGGTTCTTCGGGTGCAGCGTGGACATAAAAATGCTTAAATATTTGAGCTGGTTGTGTTTGTACATGTTTAAAATAGTCTTGATAATTAAGAGTGGCTATATTTTTATACTGATTTGGTGACACAAATTGATTAGCAGCGCTGGCGGCCTGATAGTATCTACCAATGTTATCTAATTCACCCGTATCAACGGTTTGGTAGCCATAGCCAGCGTTCTGACCAAAACCGGAAGTATAGTACCCGCCTTGGGAAGTTCCAATATTATTGTTTGAGTTGGAGCCACTGCCTGTGCCAAAGAAATTGTATCTTGAATTTAACCCTGCATTAGAGCCATCGTGTACATTGTATAAGGATCCAGACCCCAAACCCGTAGAGCTAAAGGAGTTGTATCCGGAACCGGAAGTCGAGCCATAAGCGTTTGAACCAGAGGCACCAGATCCTAAATTATTATAGGTTGAAGATGAACTTTGGCTTGGTGTAGCAAAACCATTATAATTAGATCCAGAGCTTGAACCCTGCTCTTTGTAGGTTGAGGAACTAGAGCCAAGGCCTCCTGAATTGTATTTTGAGGAACCACTTGAGCTTGTTCTGTCATAGGTATAACCTGTACCTTGTCCTTGACCCAAGCCTGAGCCGGAGGATTGAGATGAAAAAGCAGAGTTATATTTGCTTCCGCTGCTGCTGACTTGGTAAGACGGTAAGCCGTATGTAGTGGCCGGCTTGTTATATTGGTACCCGATGCCAACGTCAGCTACCGCTACGCCTAAGGCGAGCGCTAATACCTGAAAATAAAAAAAAAACATGAATTCAACAACTTACATATTAGGTATGTAAATTTTTATCCTTATCTTAATAACATCTATACTAATATTATAAAGAGCTAAAGTGTGTGAGTTTATGACGTTCTAGGGGGTAATCTCTGAATCTACTGAACGGATTTAGATAAAATTTGGTAAGAAGATAGTTTGAAAACTTGGGAAGGACGTAGGATACTTTTTATCCCGGACATTATCTCTTAAGGGGTTGAAAATGGGGATAAAAATTTGTATTGGGAATCAAGCTAGGGACAAACCCGAGCGAAGCGAGGGTGAGTCGCTAATATTAATATATTTTACTAAAAAAATGATTTAATTTTTCCAACTTCAATCTATTTAAATAAAAAAATTAAATAAAATTATGATTATGAGGCTATGGTATAAGACTGCGATGTACTATCACTTTCTAAGAACAATGACCTTTCATTGACTAATGAGTTTTCGAGCCAGTGCAACGAGTTTTATACTTTGTTATTTAATTTTAGAATACGATATTGAAAAGCGTATTACAAAGTGCAGAATTTAATAAAACCGATACTTTAGAACAATTTTCAATAGGATTCGTTATTAATTATTCAAGTCGTTTATTAGTCGTATATTGAACTATAATTAATAAATATAAACATATTCAAGCATATCTATTGTTAATTAATTAGCCGTATTATATGAAAAATAACGAAGTGGTCTTATAAATATTATAAATAAAATTTCGTTATTATTTATACATAGGTACCACATAAACACATTTTTAATCATTAAATCTTGTATCAAAAAAGTAATTGTTAATCATTACTTTAAAGAAAAACATAACTATATAAATATTTATTTTCACTTTAAAAAAAAATATTATAATTAAAAAAATATTCCATTTGCGTAAACCATCACTAAAGTAGTAAATCGGTTCTCAAACATCTTTCACTGGCATTGCGTAACGTAGCCTTGACATTGAGACAAGAGCAACGAACTTAAAGAGGTAACAAAATTTCATAATAGCTACTCAAGAAAAATAAAAAATCATACTAAATATTAATTTAATACATAATAAATGGAAATTAACAAAGTGAGGTCGAATAACCGGTCGCTCTTAGGTTATGGATATTCTAAAATCTTAGATCATCTTATTATTTTGGTTCTTATGTGATATTTTAATGATATTACAACAGAACTTGATGTCATCGTAATAAATTATTGATTATAATAATATTAATTTGGTATTAGCTTAGAAAATATATTAGCAATATCTAGAGGTATAAAATAACTTATTAATGAATATATAAAAAAGGTACGCTTTAACGGTTAGTGTAAAATACAAATCTTTGAATTTCGGCTTTTCTGTACTATAATAAGCATGTATTATACATAATATAAATCTCTATCTATTGCTGAAAACTGCATTAAAATCCATTAAGTAGTTTAAAAGACCTACGCGAACAGACTGCGGAGGCGACTTCGTTATATACTTAGTATGTAAAGAAAGAAAATAAAATTACAAATATTATTAATTATTTGAATAAAGCAAATATTTAAATCAATATGTCATGTCTATTATAAGTAATATCAAATATCATATTTTCATTTATTACTTTTAATAATATATTCAATATGTACTCAGGAAAACATATAAAATATTTAAAACAATATTGTAATGTATTGTACAAAAGGAATAAATTGTTAAAAATATTTTTATGGATGATTCTCCACAGTTTACTAAGTAATAAAAGAAAACATAAGCAATATTGATAATAACAGAACAAAATTTGTTGTAAGAAGAAAAATAGAACGTTTTTGTTTCAATTTTTTTCTCTGTCTGTTTATCTGTTTGCCTGTTTGTACGAGCTAATCTCCGAAACTGTTGGATCGGACCAATGTAAATGAAATTTTGCATTATGGTACCTTATATCCTCGGTCAACAATTTAAATATTTTTCATCCCGGAAAATTAAATAGTTCCCGTGGAATAATTAAAAAATCATAGTAACTTATACTGCTTAGTACACAAAAACTACTAATTGGATTTTCATGAAACTTTACAATAACGTAGTTCGTACCTACATCAGAATAACAAATAGGCTACTTTTCATGGAAATGTACGGAAAATGTACGGTGCCCGTGGGATAGATTGGTTTTCGTTTGTCTAGAGGCGAACCAGAGCGAAGCGAGGGTGATCCGCTATTTTATAAAATAATAATGGTCGAGGAATGTTTAATTAATGCTCTCGTTCATATATTTTTACCATGCTAAAAGAGTTTAGAGATAAATTATATATTTCATAGTTAAAACCTAAACTATTTTAAATATAAAATTAATTTTGATAAACGCTTCTCTATTACGTACTAAATGTAGAGCTGCTTAATGGTAAGCATTGTAAAGTTACTACCATAAAGCTGCTATGATTTTATTGTACGAAGTCAGCTCACAGTGATGAATTATCATATTTTATTCTGTACACTATAAGTAATTATACATTTAAGCGGACATTTAATTTTGATTATCAAGTCAAACGTCGACGTTGAATTTTGTGTTTAAGATGTAGGTAATACAAATTGAATAAAAAAAATCGAGAGGTGTCGTGGGACACTAGTACCCAGCAGAAAAGAAGTTCCTTTCGCTGTCTGCCTTTATCTTATAATTATTTATAGTCGTCAAAATCGATGATAAATATCAAAGAACGTACATTGTACATGTTGAAACTCATCGAAGAAAGGCCTGCACAGAGTGCACACGAATTTTTTACAACCTACATTCCTAACGCTTATGACCGTCTAATGCTTAACGACGTCACATTACGGGCTTCTCTTAGCTTATAATATTTGGTGACTATGGTCCCCAGTATAATGAGACCACAAACCTCAAGAAATGTACCGTATACATGAAGAGCCCTGTCATAAGAGTGCATACGAACTACACATTGCTTAATACTTTTGATCACCTGGTACTTATGATGAAGTCACATGGGGTGCTTTTAGATAATAATAAAAAGTGTCATACAACTCGAAATATTATACTTTTTTCCGCCTAACTCTCATTTGCCAATTATGTGCCGAGTATAACGATATCAAATTATAACTTTTTACAACTTTATCCCTTCATCTACTTATTCTCTATGTAATCTTGAAAAGAATATAATATATTTATAAGCTTTGCTAGGGAATAAACATTTTAGGAATTATTTAAATTCTACTTCAAATAAGGTATAATTTATGTAGATAGTATATAGATGGCTACGACCATGGAAACAATAATTAAATTCAGTTGTGCTATATTAGACGCGAGGATACTTACATTTTGTGTTCATTCAAAGTTTAAACTTGACATTTCGTAGCATGCCATGTCCTCGGTCATGGTGGTGTGACTATTGCGATACTGAATAGTTAATAGTTTATCTTATTTTTAGTTGACATCGAAAGGGGACATAATTTATACATATAATAAATTTCTAACTCAGTCGAATCTGTAAATTAAATATTTATTAAAAAATCTTATCCAAATAGACATTTTTATCGATACAGAGGCCGAATCTATAGTTTTTTACAATTTTGTCTGTCTGTTTGTCTGGGAACGTATCACGAGAAAACCACTGGACAGATTTTGATAAAATTTGGTATGATGATAGCTGGTTATATGCGACAGCATATAGGATACTTTTTAGTGCGGGAAGATATCTCATCTCTGAGAAATCTATTAACGTTAAAACGTAACTAGGGATGAACCCGAGCGGACCGAGTATTATATTATAATATATTTTTTATTTAGTATAGTTTAAAAAAAATCATGTTTGTTTACATTGAATTTTTATGTTGCGATTGAAGGACTTAATATTATGTTAATTAATTATTTTTAAAAGAATTAATTATATATCTATATTTACTAGCGACTCAAAGATTAGATATTTTCCCACAGTAAAAAGTATCCTATATATTGACTCGAATAACCAGCTATCATCATCACACCAAATTTCATTAATATATGTCTAGTGGTTTTCTCGTGATGCGTTTCCATACAGACAGAAAAAAATTATAAAAACTATAGATTCGGCCTCTTTATCGATAATAATGATTATTCTATAATATTTTCCAAAGAATATTTAATGTACAGATTCTACTCTGAATTTTATTATATGTATATATATTATATGTAAAGACGTATTTTTTATAAATATCTATTTTTATTTAATTTATTCTTTGAAATATTCCATATAATAACTTAAATAATTTTTAATCGACTATTTAGTCCCTTCCGTAAGGTAATGGCAATGGTACAAAAATCGTAACGCCAATCCTTTTTTTACCCTCGCATGGCGCGCTTAAGGAAGATTCACTTCAAAAATTAATGATTTTTTATTTAAGATCTTGACTTGGGCGAATTCGATATGGCTCTCATAAAATCTAATATTTGGAATTTAATAGTTTTAATCACTAAAATATTTTAAATTACGAATTTTTATTTTAAAAAGACGAAATCTATTTCACTTACTAAAATCATTATAATTATTTTTTAATTAAGTATATTGGGTTTTAAGCATTTTTTTAATTGAGTTGCAAGTTATTAATGTCTATGAAAAAATATATAAATATATCGTAATACTTTACATAATTTAAATATTCAATAAACGTAAATCTTTAATTATGAATAAAACAAAAAAACAAAACCGCACATCTTCAGCGTTGATGACTTGATTAGTATTTAAATTATAGTTTTTCACTTATTGTATTTCGGTTGTTATGCAAAAATAATTAAATTAATAATAGAGTTTTAGTAAATTCGTCACGTTTCCTGAACGCTAGCTAAGGAACAAATAAATCAATTTTTTTACGTTACGATGCGCTTCATTTATTTTTCAATGAACATAAAATTTAAAATTTATTGTTTTGGATTAGTATGGACTATGGACCGTGTGAAACTGCCGTTGCACTATTGATGCGGATGTAGTATGAATGTCAAACTTAATTTCAATTTTTTTGCAAATGCCAAATATTTAACTAAAAAAAAAACATTAAAGAATTACCTCATAACCTCTTACGTTATATCATGTTTTTGAATTATTATTTTTAATAAAAACTCTTGAATAGATTAATTATTTTTGTTAAGTATTAACAATAACAAACACAGATTTCCTGTTCAGACAAAAGAATGAGTCAATAAATGATGTGTTAAAAATATTACATTTTGGAAATTAATTAAGTATAAATTAATTAAGTCTGTGGCAGAAAAATATAATTATTATGTGTAAAAAGTTACATCAGTGCGTGGAGTAAACAAATGGTAGTACCTAATACGATACGCCTTATTATATATGTAAAGTACGATTAATATAAGCAGTGTAGCGTTTGGAATTACCCGAAGTAACACTTGCTGATTTTCACTTACGGATATTTATAATACAATATGGCATATGTGAAGGTCTTCTTTAATGATCTCTTAAATATCCTGTATTCTTAAGTTATGGTTAAACTTTTATAGCAGTCAACCTTGAATGGTATTTTGACCGCAAATTTGTTCATCATCCATTTTTCACATAAATATTAAATCCGGAATTAAATCATGGAGTTTAAAATGGGTATATTATAATATTACATATTAATTTATCGTTTCTAGATCTGACAGCTTTTATTAGTCTTTAAAGTTGCCGTAAATTATTGCATCGCTATACATTCAGTGATATCTATACAAAGCTTTATGAAGTTTGAAAAACGTGAAATATGTAGCGTCCGGCAGATATCAGGAGATTTGTAATGTAGCAATGAAATGAAAAGAACAAAAATATAACAAAGGCACTAAAAAGTGAATTCAAGAGTGCCTGATATCCTACGTCATAAACTTTCTTAGCTTCCGTTTTAAATTATTCGTTAATAGTCGGTTCAAACGCATGCATGAAAAAAAGTCAATATTAAACTATTTTTATAATAAGTTTTGAATTCTAAGAATAAACAATTCTGCAACTTTGTTCTTTTAGTAAACAATATTTTTTAGGCTAAGGTTATTTTTAGTAATAAATTAGCAATGGAAGACGTTGGAAGATTTTTAATCATTATTCACCAAAGAATATTTTTTATGAATAAAACCTTCAAATTTAAATATTTCATCAAAACCTTTTATATGGCTAGTTTTTTTTTTCTTAAGAGGCAGTTAAAATTATTATGTTGTACAATATCTTTAATTGTTTAGTCTAGATCTAAATAAAATTGGCTATCACAAATGGGAAATTTGCGTACGAATAGAAACGGCAATGGATATAAGAAGGTACATAAAAATGTCGCAAAGCAATGATAGAGTTACACATCCTGTATAGCTATATATTAAAGTCCATACACACTTTCTCAATTAATTTTAAGTTTAAATTTTATCGAAAAACCAAAGTTATTGATTACTAATTAATTACACCAATTAAAATAATTTAAGTAATGTTACGCATGCTGACACTGTACACTTATATATAAAATATATTACAAAGAATATTAATATTTAACAAAAAAATATATTCTTTTAATCAAATTAATCAATTAATATTGCTGTATATGGAAACAATTATTTCAATACAGGATGTTTATAATAGATGAAAAAAAAAATACTACGCACCCAAATTGTGTACATGGTATCCACCGGTCTCAGTGTCCAGACCTGAGAATGTGACACTCGGTCCGAAATCTCTCTTATATACCGAGATGAGACTTAATGACCGATGCACCCAAGTACAAGGCCGTGTCACGCACAAACCGGTAATAGACGAAAGCTCTATGAAAATAAAAGCTTCAGTTGACATGTGTATAGCGTGTGGATCTTTTTTGTTGGTTGTTATAATTAATTTGTTTAATAGTTTTCATTACAGATTTTAATTTAATAATGTTCTAAGTTTAGATTTTTTTCTATATAAAAAATGTATACGTTTTCTTTCTTTTAGAGGGAAATTAAATAAGCAGCTTAAATTAAATTACAGTTGTTAAAGTACTAATTATTCTGGAGGGCTTCGGTTTGTAAGTACGGTCAGTGAATACGCATGGTCCTAACAGGCATATATATATAATTAGTAAAACTTAATTTCTTATTTGACATCTTTGGCAAAATAATCTTTAATAAGTTTATATATTAATTATTTATTAAATATTAATTATTATCATTAATATGATGATATAGAGACACACAAGTAATGGCTAGTCAAAATTTAATATTTTGTAGGCCAAACAGAAAAGCCTTAACTTGATTTTTCGTGACTCCTTTTATTTGCTTTCCTAATACGACACGTTTTGCTCAGTTTGTGCACCTACTTGCTATGTCAGCGGTCGCGGGTTCAAGTTCCGCTGGGGGCACTCATTTGTGTGATGAATACGAATGTTTGTACTCCACTCATGGGTGTTTATATTTATAATATGTACCTACGTATTTAAAGATATATATGTTATGTGTAGTGTATCAACTATCTGGTCTCCATAACACAAGCCTCGTAGCTTACCATGGAACTAGATGGTATTAGTTAAAATCCCAACATATTATACTTAATATATATATAACGCGGTCTTTAAGTCTTATTAACTTAAAGTTTGGTGCCGTACTATCATGGATCTGTTTACTCTACAGCTTTGTATGCAAGCTCACGACGCGTACTATTTAATCGATAAAATTTAATTGAATCATCGAGCTTCGCTACTCCATTGCAATTATATTACCCATCCAGGGACTGATAATGACAGTCTGGTCGTATCATATTGTATATTTACGTAGTATTTTAAAAAAGTTGCCAATTATTGATATAAAATAATCGTTAACAATTGTTTTGATTTGCTTGCGTTTTGACGGAAAATCATTGAATATGTTTTTTAAAGTGATAAATATTATTTATCTTTATTACGGCTCTTCTCAGTAAATTCTTTAAATAATAATCATAGTGTAAAAAACTTAAATAATACGCTTTTGACGAGTTGATATACATAATATAATATGGTGGGTCGTCAAAACGGATCATATAAGCCAAAACTCGAGAAGTCAACTAATAGTGACCGAAAAGTATCGCTACCGCGGCTTCAATCGTTATTTAATCGTTATTCATTTTTTTTTAAATAAATACGTTACATAAGTATAACGTGATTTGGTACGACACCCTTGCAGCCAAAATTCCAATCACACTTGACCGATTTGTATATTAATAACACCCAACTGGTTACAACAATTTATTTAAATTTGTTCTGGTGATACATACTAAAAGAATATATAAATAAGTATATATAAATATTAATATATTATACTGTGAAAAGCAATTAAATATTGATTAGTCACTGATAAAGATAGTCTCACTGTAAAGTTTTGATATAACTATACATGCTTGTTAATGATATTATAGCTAAGAACGCTCTTGGTTAAATTACCTTTTAAATAAAAAAAATCTAAATTAAAATCGGTTTAGCCGTTTCAACGCTACGATGCCACTGACAGACACACAGAAACATACGTTAATCTTATAACTAATACTATGTCTCTTCGCCAACTAGTTCTCATCTTTTTAGTTAGCTTATTAAGCAGTTTTTTTATTTTTAACATTATTTTTATATTTACAGCTTTTTAGTTTCAGGTCAGTAAGACCTTTTTAGTTTTATTTAATAATTTCTTACCCTAAATTACTTTTAAAATTATAATTTGTATATTTTTTTGTAATAGCCTCTTAAAAACCTGTATTTTGGTATCCCGTTCGACTGATTCGAACGAAGAATTTATTCAAGACACACAATTTTTTTAAAATACGAGTATCTATATATCCTAAAACAATCGATCAAAATCAGTGTAGCTTTTTGCTTAGTAACTAATGACGAACTTTAGTGTTAAAAAAAGGCTAAACCTATTAATACAGTAACTGTAATGTAAGAATAATATTATTTGTAAGTACATATTAGTCTGGCTATTGATTGTAAAAAAAATATATTTTTTATATTTTTACACAACATTGAGGATAAGAGAAAAAGTATAGGTATCTAGGAATGCCATCTTTAATTTAGAGCTTTCGAAAGAGACACAATATAAATATAATTATCTTGTTCTCATTCTTTCAATTCAATTCAATTATTTTGTTTAGTGGCTTCCAGAAGTGCCAGTTGGGGCACAAGTTCTCATTCTTTCGAAAATTGAAGGGCGAGTTGAAGAGTATCGTCAAAAAAATACATTTGACACTTCCAATTTTTCTCATACTGTCAGACACCTATATTTTCGAGTCGAAAAAGTCACCAAATCTTAAATAACATATAACAACCTACCTACCCACATAATCGAAAATTAAAACTAACAAATAAATAATGTTTAATTCAGATGCATTGAACTTAAAATAAAAAAAAAGAAAATAAAAGAAAACGTGCGTGTACATTAACGCACGTAAGAAGTTATACTTCTTTGGCTTAACGTAACAAAAATAGCTAAAGATTTCATCCCGTATTTCATAACTCTGTTTGTAAAGGGAATGCAGCTAACTTCATGATGTCGCTTTCAGCTAACTTCATCATGTCGCTTTTTGGCTGTCGGTGTGCGCGCGCACCGTAAACTCTCTTAATTTTTCTAAATGTGTCAAAAGAAGTATAACTTCAATAAAGTAGCTGGACAAATAATTATATATTAGTCGTACAACTACTGGATTAATAGTCACTTCCTAAAAAAACATGACAATTACGGTCGAACTACCATACCACTGGGCGAACACTATGACTAGTATCCATAAAACAATTTTAATTAAAATCAGAGTTAGACTGGTATGTTATGATTGTGTGAAGGTTATAGCGATAAAGCAAACAGTATGGGGAATATCGAATGTCCGTCGGAATTGTTTCTCCGCTTTAAATTGCACACGAGTTTGGCGAAATTGCCTATGTGATGTCAGTTTGTAAATCCTTTAATAAAATATTTATAAATACCACTTTGATGTTCGCGTGCAAAGGATACAATACGTGTATACAGACATACTCGTAGTAGGTATACGGGCATAAAATACAGATCAATAAAATTCAAATGGTATCATCAACTTTAGTTTTAATAATACGTTTTGTTGTAGATTTCGTCTATATTACTTTATTAAAATTTGATTTAAGAAATTGTATATTTTTTTATACGGAGACATACGCATGCAAGCACACACACACACAGTTTTACGTAGTAGGTAAAATTATTGTATACATATATTATAGGAGTCATGAGTGACTCGTGGCTACTTGAGTCCTGAGTTGCTACCCTCGCACGGAGTAATATTTGGATTGATCATAAACTAAGATTTATTTTGTTGAGACTTTGACACTAAGTATAATCTAATAGAATCGTCAGCTGGTCATAAATCAGTGAAACAGTAAAGTTTCTACGTACTATATAGGCTACTTTTTACCGCGGGAGATTATCTAATTCCCACGGCAAAACACGTTATAATACAATCCAAAAAAAAAATTATGATCAGAATTGCTTGAAATTTGGTATTAATGCTCTTCAATAAAATTAAATAAATACTAGATGATAATAGCATATTTCTAAATGAATTCTATAGGGGGGTTAAATAGGGGATGAAATTTAGCACGAAAGCCGCGGGTTCTGCTAGTAATAAAAAAAAAAAAGAAAACAGTCACGAGCATGCTGGCGAGTATTGAATAATTTCACAATAAATTAATGAAGACTATAATAGTTGTAACTTTTAACTATTTTTAAGTACGTGTAGTATATAAGAAGAAGTCTAGAAATGAAGAAAATTAAAACTTTAACATGCGAAATCTTTTTATAAGATTAAAAAAATCTCTATTTTTAGTATCAAGATTTTATTTAATTTTACTAATATTATAAATGTGAAAGTTTAGATGGATGTTTGAATGTTTAGGTGTTTGTTACTCAATCACGCCAGAATGGCTAAACGGATATGGATGAAATTTGCCACAGAGATAGATTATAGTCTGGAATAGTACATAGGCTTTTTATCCCGGAAAAATGTACGGTTCCCGTGGATTAGATATATTTTGTTTTTGTTAGTATAATATATGTAAACTATGCACTAAAGAATTACCCTCGCTTCGTTTTGGTGCTGTCCTAGAGATACTTTCGTCGTTGAGGGATTAAATATTTAATTGTGTAAGGAGTAGTTTTTAGTATTTTTTTATTTGTTTCGCTCAGTAGAGCAAACTGCTCTACTGAATCCGATTTTATCACGGAAAACAAGTATCTTTGATTCATTTTTGACATTTATATAAATAACATAAAAAGGTATATTTTATTTTTTTATTTACAATAAAAGTTATTTAAATTGTCTACGAGCCATATATGAATATAGATATACATAATAATTAATTATTGAAAAAAAACATACACTAATTTATTATGCCACTTTAATTACACAAACACAAAATTACAATTATACATTCGAAAAAGCTCTTAATATATCATAGAGAAAATTATTTTCATATAATTTTGGACCAAACTATTGTATTATAATGTTATACCTAGGGAGTTCAGTTTACAGAAAAGCATCAATCTAGTTCCACTTTTCCATGGCCTAGAAGTTAAATAAAAAAAAACTTTACTTTAGCAGTCATTTAAGTTTAACAGGTAACAAAGAATAAGCATATTCGGAGAAGAAAATTAAAAAATATATATATAAGAAAAGACTGACGAATAATAAAATTTAAAATAGGAAGTTATTAGCTAGAACTCAAAAATTAGGCATACCTTTTTCTATATATATATACTTAGGTATCTTCCTTGATATGAGGACACAGATATAGTCATTTCAAGGTCTTTTTAAATTAATTATTAATAACTTAGATGATATCAACACAAGCAAGTAAACGTTGCATGCAGTTGTTTAATAATAATTAATAATACATTTTATTTTATTATCATTTTATAAAAAAAAACGTATCTAATATAAAGAAATAATCATAACGTTACTTATTATCTGCTAGTAACATTTGCACAAGTTTTACTGTAATTTATTAAAAATACAAGTATATCTCTACACTTATACTTTCGTAGCATCATGTGACTATCAGCCGACGCAGACGGAGACAGAACAGGATGCACAACGAGGCTTTACGTTCTTGTACATGGAGGTGTGTAACATTAGGAAATTTTTAACTTTCTGCTACTAATAAGAATTTTCACAAATTCTTAAAGTTTGACTCTACCCAAGGGCCCCTAATCCCCATGATCCGTCATATGGCCTGACCACTAGAACGCCAAGACAGTCATACTTACATTAAAAAGAAAGAGAAAGGGCATCCTCTATCATTCATTCAGAAAATTTATGTAAAAACGCTGAATTTTGATTTGAGTAAGGCATGAAATAAAAAAAAAGGATAGATCAATATGAAATTTATCTATTTTTTTAAATTTTATCTATATTACAAAGAGGTAAAGTTTATAAGTTAGTGAGTTTTTGTAGGAAGTAATCTTTGAACTAATGAACCGATTTAGATGAAATTTGTTAAGAAGATAGTTTGAGCCTGGAAATGACATAGAATAGTTTTAATACCGGAAATCATCCCTTAAGTGGGTGAAAATGGGGATGAAAAATTTGTATGGTAAATCAACCTAGAGACGAATCCGAGCGAAGCGAGGATGAGTAGCTAGTGTTTTAATAAATGTGTGGAAGTGGTCTTGCTAAGAGTACCTACATTACCGTTCAAAAAAATAAAGATTTCATGGTAATTCATATGGTAATTACTAATAAACTAAGGAAATATTTTAGTATTAAAAATTTATGCACTAAAACAGTATCACTTATAATGATTGATATAAACAAGGACAACCGGCAAGACATTTTTCTTGACCTTTTAAATTATCAAAGATGCAGCTGTGTTACAATTTCATCTATTTAATAATAAAATATTTTTAAAATGAGCATGTAATTTTCCAAACAGCATAATTTCAAACTATAAATTTTATGTATCGAGAGGAACGCGTGTTTGGAATTTATTTTATTTGCCTAATATAGAGCACTTCGTTATCCTTTTTCGCTAATAAGTGTAGTTATTACGCACGGTACAGTATCCAAATTCCTCATGTCCGGCTTATTGTGCGGTGCCAGTCAAACCTATAGGTATAGGAGCGATTCTAACTTGAAAACGATAGCCGTACAATATGAGGCGATAATATATGATCGCGCTTGTTTTGTTTACAGTAAAAGTGAAGAGAGTGAAAGGAGGTGCAAAAAATTTAAATCGAAAAGTTCCAATGGAGTCCAAGAAAATTTCAAAAGTAGAGAGTCATCTTAACTTCAAACACATGATGATAGCATAAAACTGCGGTCTATGAGCTTGTCCCGATTGCGGTCAAGTAAGTCCCTTTAACACGATAATATTTAAACATGGGGATTTGACATTAATTGAATAAATAAATATGGTGGGACATATACACACAGCACAATCTAGTTCCATGATAAGCTACGAGGCTTGTATCATGGATAGCGGATAGTTGATACACTACATATATATAACTTTAAATACATACATATTATAAATATAAACACCCTGACTGAAATACAAACATTCGTGCTTGACACACAAATGAATGCCCCCAGCGGGACTCGATCCCGCGACCGCTAGCACTACAAACTGAGCCAAACGTGTCGTCAAAAATGATTTCTATAAAAATTGTAATATTTTTAACCAACTTCAAAAATCTAGTCCGAAACTATTAATCGGATCGTGATTATTCTTTTTTAATTTGCTTACATTTATTTCACCTTAAGGAATAGTAAAAATTTCATCATAATCGGTTTAGTGTTCGTGTTCGTGTAACGACAGATTTATTGATATAAGCTACAGGAATATGGTGTCAATGGGAAAACATCTCAAAAACTTGGTCAAATTTTAGTACGCATGTAAGAAAATCAAAATGACCGAATCCAAACTAGCCTCACTATACAAATCCTCGGCGAAAACTAAACATTAATAAGATTGCCGGGCCATCCGATACGAGCTACGGGAGTGGATTAGTATTACTCAATGGCAAATTAGATGAAGTTGTAGCAGTAGGATTGCTACGTAAACGCAACTTTTTTCTTGGTATGCTTGTAGATCGTGATCGTTGTTTCAATATGTGCTTACCTTGTCGTAGTGTTTGCTCATTAGCGCCAGCCAATCGAGCCGCATATGAAGCTAAGAGACCCACTGGAAGGCGGTCCAACTCTATGAGCGGTGTACCATGTGGATTGCTGTTGATACTCATCTGATGTTATTTATAATTAACACCCCCAGGTAATTTTCTAAGAAATTAATTAAATTTCTAAGAAATCTGTTGTTAACTGTAACGCCGGCGTGCCCGCGGTCGTGGAGGCATTAATAAAATTCTAATATTAGATGATTGATGCCTCTCACAAGGTGGATCAACGACTTGGTCAAAGTCGCTGGAGCCGACTGGATGCGGATGGTACAAGACCGTTGTCGAGGACATCTTTGGGGGAAGTCTATGTTCAGCAATGGACGTGTTTGGGCTGAGACGACGACAACGAAGACGACTTATCTGATAGCAGAGTGGATTATAGGAGCAACTCCTTAGTTGTTGTGGGCTTCCACAGGACCATCTGGTTGAGTGTGTAAGCAATCTTTCGGCGTCTTCTTAACCCGGAGGAAATTCCGTTGGGTTTTTGTGGGTTTTTTAGTCGGTGAGTCCCACAAAACCATCCTCTCGTGACCGCATTCTGGACACCGAAATCTGGCGACGCACGGAAGTGCTATTGAATTACAAGACTTAAGTGGAAACGGAAATATTTATTTCCATGAGTACCTATTCACTCTAGCGAGAAGAGAATCGGCAGACCGAAGATAAACAATACTTATATACTAAGCTATAAAGATTTTAAATTTAACTGCATTCATTTAACAGATCTTATGTGTATCGGGCCTTACGTATATTAACTAGCTATCAATATTTTTCAAAATCTGCATCCCCCTGACAACGATTCTACTAGCGCACATGTGTATTTTCGAACATACATAATATGTTATCTTTTTAGGTGTGTAAATTCCGAAAATAGACTTGGTACCTATGCTTTATGATAAAACTCAACACACTTTCATACAATTGTAATGCTTCTTGGGTTACGAAAATGAAAACGAGTTCATAGTTTTTTTCTTTAATACGAAGCTAATGGTAATGTAAATGCTAATTAAACCTCCTGCTTTTGTCTGATATTCCTCTAGTCTTCTATATTGGAGTGTTTGTCACAATTACTATTTAAGAAACTGTAGGTAAGTATTTTATCTTGTATGTAGACAATAGATATTAATACTGTATAAAAAAAATATTTAATTATCCTAACGTTTAATTATTAATATTAACTTGTCAATCCACGTTAGAAATGTATTTAATTTTTACATAGCCATAGTGAGGGAATTTCCTAAAACAAGTTCGTTTGTTGGCTGTTATTTATTTTGAATATTTATAAGTTAATAAATGAAATTGCTAAAGTCGGTTGGAAATCCTTTAAACCGGTTAAAGCGTCCATATATTAATAATATATAAATTACTATTAGCATATACACTAGTGCTGACTTCGGAGCTCGGACGAGTTTATAAATACTTGAAGTATTTATACTTAAAAAGTTTATTTTCTATACTTAATTGGTATACAGAAATAGGTAGATAAATTGGACTTCAATCTTAGTGAGATAGAGAGATAGTAAATTGAAAGTAAGTTATTTAAAATATTTAGCGAATTTGTTTCGGGTTATCTAGCTAAGTTATTATCAACTTTTACTGACCTCTAATAAAATAATATTGATATTATAAATATTACGTATAAGTAGGTAGGTGTAGGTAGGTAACATTTCATTTCAAAAGTTTTGTGACACTAAGGACCAGAAAGAAGCAGAAGAAGAAGCCAAATTACCTTTAAATATTTTTAGATAGCAGCTATTGAATAAAAGTAGTATTAAAGTTAATCATTTGAAAATTCTAAATCTTTATGGATTTTGCAATTTAGAATACTGTGAAATCGATGAAATGCACAGTGTCGCGAACCGCGAGCGTGATATTCAATCTATCTCGTCGGACAACTTATTATAACTTTATGTAAGTGCAAAGAAACAATAATTATTGTTTTCCGTCATTTGTATCGACATTTATGTTGGTTATAGGTAGGTATTAGGTACCTATTTCAAAGACATGTTTTCGCCTACAAAAGACACGTATTGATTATATTTTTTGTATATGAATATATATATTATGTAAAACATTTTTAATGTAATGTAGAAATGATAATTATGTAAAATAAAAATGAATCTGTTATTGTGAAAGATAATATAAAAATAATATAAAATATTATATTACTAGCGCCTCACCCTCGATTCGCTCGGATTCGCCTTTAGAAAAGCACAAGCAGATCTGTCCCACGGGAACCGTTCATTTTTCCGGGATAAAAAGTATCTAAGATGTTGACTGGGGATATAAGGTACCACCATGCAAAATTTCATTTAAATCGGCCTTACAGTTTCGGAGATTAGCCCATACAAACAGACATACAGACAGAGATACAAAAAAATCTCGATTCTCGATCGATCGACATTCGACCTCTACAGTTTATTATAGTATAGACTAGCGACTCACCCTTGCTTCGCTCGGGTTTGTCCCCAGGTTGCATCGTCATACAAACTTAACATCTCCATTTTTACCCCCATAAGGGATGATTTCCGGGATAAAATGTATTCTATGTCACAAGCTCACAAACTTTACCTCTTTATAATATTAGTATGGATTACTACATACTAAAAGTAGATACTTTTCATCCATCTCATATATCGAATTATGTTTGTTGTATCGAAAAAATATTATCTCTATTAAGATAAATAAAACGTTGAAACGATAACTTGTTGAGTGAAGAATTTTATTTATAAGCCCAATAAATATGTATACTAGCGAGTAAAAATATGTTCTTGAAATGCGATCTAAGGGTGACATCACACTGCGCTACGGATTTCCCGTAGTGTATAATTTTTTAATCAATTTAAAAATAGAAGATATACAATAGAACTACATTTTTTTATTGATAATTATCTGTCATACGTTAAATTAAATTATTTTAAAAGGTTTTTTATGCGCTGCCTCATTTGGGTAGTTCCGTTTGTAGCAATAGGTCGACATTTTCTCAGATATAAGTATTATGATTATTGGGTGTTTTAGTGTTGATTTTTCTTGTATAAAATAATAATACTTTTAATAAATTGAAATTAATTAAAAGTATAATATGTGTCCATATTCTTTTTAACATACCGATTTATAATAATTTCAGAATTGTTAGTAAGACTTGTATTTATTGAGAAGTTTTGTATTTTGTACAAAAAGAATAAACCAAAGAAAAAAGAACTTGTTTTATATTATACGTTAATCGATTTTACGATGATAAATAAACTTTATAGACAATGAATTATAAAAGTGGAATATATCTGGCTACTATTCATCTCATTAGTAAATGAACAAAATTAACAATTATTGTTTAAACTTATATATACTGTAAAGCTACAAATAATAATTAGGTAATCACTCATTCTACTTGAATAGCTCAAGTACGAAAGGGCAAATCATACAGAAGATATAAAACAACTATACTGCGGCAAGCAGACTGTATAAAAATGAATAACTATGCAAATATTATCAACGAGGGAAAATCCAATAGACCGCGCGGTTACCGGGCACTAGGTGTCTAGGTCGGTTAAAACGGCCGAGTACTGATTTACTCGTGTGTACTGCCAAAAACGTTATTTTTACTCATTACCTCATAGTTATGTCACCTTAATCAATGAGTTGTGTTAATGGACACGTTCTTAGATAATATTTCGGGAACTTACTATCAAATATGTTTAATAATATATAAGACTTGTAGGTTATTGTTTTTTAAACTTATGTATGTATTAGAATTTCGAAGGTCAAAGGAAAAACGGAACCGCTTGGCCGCAAATTACCTTTGTTTCTCTTACAAATATACATCTATTTTCGCGGTCGATAAATTGATTGCAGATGTGTAAAAATTTAACAAATTTCCATCATCCATTTCTTATGCCATTTCCAACATGATTACCACATTTTTTCTTTAGTGTAGCAACTTTTTAATATACTGAAGGAAAACATCGTGAGGAAACACGCCTGAGAGTGTGTAGCAAATTTTTAAAAGTCTAGTGTAGTCTGCCAACTCTCACTTGGTCAGCGCTGAGTTGTAATAAATTTGCCAAAAGGTAGCGCTACCTGTATAAATTATTATAATTGCAAAAGGGTAATTCTATTCTACAGCAAAAAAAGTGTGCGTTGGGAAAATTAACATGAAATAATTTACTTTATGGTCTCATTTTTAGCTTTTATAAAGGATCTCAATCGTAATTTTCATTAGGTGCAATAAATTAGTTATAAATTTTTATTTTTCAAAAAATTTTAAGGGTCGGAATTGCTAATTGTCATGTCCTGTTATCTGTGGCTTTCATATGTTGTAACATTTAGGTGACTTTAAAAAATATTATTATTAAGTCTTTTAACCTGTCACTATTATAATTAGTTTTGAAATATAGTCCAGTTAATGATACTTAAAGCATATAAAATTGAGCGAAGCACACGAAAAGTTATACATGATTCTACTTGTGTTACCAAATATTTGTCATTTCTGTTATCAGGGGTAAAAATTTAAAAAAAATCTAGTAACATTGCTTAGCTTGGTTAAATTCAAGTAAGTTGCAACATTACGTTACCTGTCATTTAGATGGCGGCTTCAGAGTGAAAAGAGTTTTATTCGTTTTTTAATAAAAAAATAATATATTTGTAATTTTCACTGTGTAAAAGTTCGTGCGTCATCTCTGCTTAAGCTGTGCAAAGGTAAGGTTTTTGAAATTAAATGTAAAATCACTCGGCTTGCATAGGTTTTGATGTTTCATATGATACTAGTGGAGTAAAAGTGTTTGACTTTGTTATCAAGAGAAATATGGCGGGTAAACCTACGTTCCGTCATTTCCGTGATCGTCACGCCTGTTATGAGCATGATAACAGAAATGATGTACGATCACTGAAGTGACAATTTGGATTTTTTTATTGTTATATTTAAATGTTTGGGAATAATATTAATTAAATATTGGTGATATTGCTACTTTGATATAAATAGGTATTTAAAACTTATATTTATGACGAAATATTGCTTGTGGAAATGATTAATAGACGATAGGAGTTTATAGATAATTTTTGTTATTTTTAGCTGCAACGTGGCTCCAAATGCAAGACAAAATAAGAAAACTAAAAAAAATAATTCACAGAAACGTAGAGAGCAAGTAAAACACGCCATGAGGCGACACCGACAGAAGTTATCAGAAGAACAACTGGAACAAAGGCGAAAAAAAGACAGAGAACGATACAACCGAAAAAAAGAACAGGGATTGATAAGTAACATCAATGAATTAATACCTCGAGCTCAAAAAATAATAATACAGCAGTGGAAAGAAAGACCGAAAAAATATCGTGATAAGAAAAAAGCAATGGAACAAATTCGTCAACAAACTGAGGATTTTGTTGAAAATGACACTCTTCCAGATAGCCCTACATCTTCTAGTTCTAGATCATGAGCAGAGTCTGGTTGGAAGATAGGAGAAAAGAACAAAAGACGTTTAAAATTAGAGAACGTTTTGCTGAGAGAAAAACTGCGAATAATGGAGATAAGACTGAAGAAGTACAAAACGCGTTGTAACAGCGTTGTACATTTCGTGGAATCTGACTCTATCATAACTCCATTTTGCACAATTTCTGAAAATCTCAGGCATGACCCAGTATTGATTTGCAATCATTTACTACCAGTTATTAAAATAATCAAAGGTTTATGTTCTACCATAAAGACCATGCATTTTGTTAGTGATGGACCATCTTCGCAATATCGAAATAAATCAATTTTTCTTGATGGCTAATTTCCTTGCTGTAAATTTAGACGTCAAAATCTAGTGTGGCATTACAATGAAACTGGACACAGCAAAGGATCACCTGATGGAATTGGCGCAACCATAAAACGGACAGCAGATCAATCGGTAGCCAGAGGTTATGACGTGGCTAATTTTCAACAATTGGTTCAATGTTTGATAAAAAACTGCAAGGGTGTACAAATTTTACCTGTAGATGATGACAATAATGCGACCATTAAACATTTGCTGTCAAGAAGTTTGGCGCAAACGTTTAAAGGTACATTCACCATACACCAAGTAGCTTGGAACAAAAATAGCCCGGGTCTTCTTAATGCTCGAAAATTAAGTTGCACTGAATGTCATCCACATCAAATCTGTCCACATTATGAAATAGGTATAATCAATACAGAAGCCATTCGTGACAGCTTCGATGAAGGTGAAGTTTTTCCTTCCTCGTCACATAGTGATCATACATTAGATACTTCAGACAAAAAAACATATAAGAAAGCTCGCGCATCAGAAAGCAGTTCTCCTCCTTGTACCGAATCTTTAATACGATTTGATAATTCTCACTCAGTTCGTCGTATTCTACAGGAACCCAATCCTTTCCTAATGGCTAGCTCGTCTATTCTTAAAGAAAGAAAATGCTCGACACTTTTTGATGATTCTGAGTGTAATGATAGTTGAATGATTCACGTTTTTTTGAACAGCCCGGATCTTCTCACAGAAATACCGTATTATGTGTACTTGACGATGACAATCTGTCAAATTTTGATGATTCAGATCATGAAAATAAACCTGTTGCGGTGTCGGTTCTTTGAAAACGCAGCCGAAACTTTTACTACAATTCTTCTTCAGATGAGTGAGTTGAAAAAGAAATAAAGAGAAAAAAATATATAGATCGAATATTTACTTCTGAATTTGAATCGGAAGTACGAAAGCCAAGAAAGTGTCTCATATTACACAGTTCTTCAGAAGAAAACATTTTTTAACTTCCTGGTTAATCTTCTTTTTTAAATTTTTGCTTTACTTGTTACGTAACAAAAAAGAACTCTTTAATGAGAGGTATTTTTGCGTTTGATTAGCCTGAATTTTCGACTAGGTTGCATCGCCGTTTTGCGACCTCCTGACCGATACTTTAAGATTAAATTGTTTATTGCGTTGAAAGCTTAATTTATTTATTACGTTAAAATTGATCTCAATTAATTTAAACTTTGTAATATTTAAGAAAAATATATAAATTAATGCATAACAAGTCCTTTGTTATGTTTTAAACTATTTTGTAATTATAGAATTTTGAGCTATTATATCGTATCTAAATGTTGCTAGATGATAACAGACAGGACGTCATTTATGTGATCACATCTTTGATATTTTTTTTTTACCTATTGTTATTAATTTTGTCGATGATTATTTTGTTTTTGGTTAACGTGGGGGCTGTTTTTCTAATATACCCTGTAGTGAATCTTCTTCAATATCTTTAAGTGCTATTTTATTAGAAAATCGTCATAACTGTGATGTACTGCTTCAACTCTGTTATCACCATTTTTCAATATCAATCGTTTTATTCAAAAATTAATAGAACACGACCTCTACTTCTAATTTTTATTGTGATTATTTGTGATATTAAATAAAATAAAAGTGAGAAAACCGTAAAATTCAAGATTTTTTTTTTAATTTTTTTTTCTCTCCAAAAGTAGAATGACCCAAAAGCATCCATTTACTTATTTATAATAAAATCAGCCGAACCCGCGGCTTCGCTCGCACTAAAACTCGTCCTCTCTTTTACCCACATTTGGGATGAATTTAAAAAAATGCTATAACACGTATTTATTTAATTGTATTGAAGAGCATTTTAATACCAACTTTCAAGTAATTCTGATTATACATAAATATTTTTTTGGGTTCTATTATAACATATTTTTATTATATTATAAGATATTTTCCCGTGGGAACGAGATAGTCGCGGTAAAAAGTAGCCTATGTCACTTTCCAGCCAACTATCTATAATACGTCACGCCAATCCGTCGATCCATTTCGACGTGAAAGAAGGACAGACAAACAGACAAACAAACAAACAAATCTACAAACACACTTTCACATTTATAATAATAGTATGAATAATCTAAATATGGCATTTTTAATATTAGGTAAAGTATCTTTGAAATTCCTTTATTTAAAACAGCAGGTTTTTTAATAGGTACATCAAACATCCTGGATAACTCATTAGCATAGCTTAAATGTGAAATGAAGACCATTTTGTGTGCGATTTAATATTAGGACATTAAAAACTAAACTAGTTGTTTCAAATTCAACTCTTTTAAAGTTCTATTATTATTAAAAAAATCATACCTTTCTTATTTATGGACTTAATATCGGGAAACATAGCAAATCGATAAGTAAATACAGTATATACATATAAATTCTACATTTAATTATTTCAGATAATAATAAAAGTAAAATATTTATAAAATTAGCGACTTAGCCTTGCTTCGCTCGGGTTCTTCCCTAGATACGTTTTAAAGGTTAATATATATTCTCAGAGATAAGATATTTTCCCGCAGTAAAAATTTTTCTATATGTTGACCAGCTATAATATGTTAACCAGCTATCATCATACCAAGTTTCATACAAATCTGTCCATTGGTTTTCTCGTGATGCGGTCACAGACAGACACACAGAAAAAACTATAGATTCGGCCTCTGTATCGATAATAATGACGATTGAAAGAATATTCAATGTACAGACTCGACTCATAATTTTATTACATACTAGCAGAACTAAAAAAAATTCTAAAATGGTAGTTTTGTACAAACTTTCATCCCCTATTTTACCCCCTTATAGGATGGAAATCGAAAAATGCTGAACCATGTCCTTATTTAATTTTATTTAAGAGCATTAATGCCAAGTTTCAAGTAATTCTGATCATAAATTTTTTTTGGAATGTAATAGGGTATAACCTGTTTTGCCGTAGGAATTTGATAATCTCCCGCAAAAAAAGATCCTATGTCACTCTCCAGCCTTCCAACTTACTCCACACAAAAAATCACGCCAATCCGTCACTCCGTTTCGACGTGAAAGAAGGACAAACAAACAAACAAACACACTTTCACATATTCGAGTGGGTCCTTGCAATGTTCATGTATTCAACACAAATGGACCCAGTAGGTGGCGCTGCAGTCGGTGTGCCACTGATCATCTCCTAAACGGCATGGACGATTTTAATTATATTTATTACATACTATGTTCGAATGGATCTCTGCAAGCTTTGAATTCACAAATAGATCCGGTAGGTGGCGCCGCAGTCGGTGTGGCACTAAATTTTCATAAAAGACTCCATTTTCCGAGCAATAAATAAATTTAAACTGTTGATTATGTAAAATAAAAATTGATGTTTGTATGTATGTTTCCTGTAGACTCCAAAACAGCTAAAGCGATTTTGATGAAATTTTCAGGTAATCTTCAGATTAGCCCAGCGGGTAAACCTGTGAATTTTATTAGCGATCGGAAGTTTGGATGCTGGCGAAGACGCGGGTGCTGCTAGTACTATATATATTTGCAAAAAATAAAGAGTTTTTGCTAAGAAGTTTCGAGGCTAAATCAAAAAAATACGCCAACTTGATACTATCTAGATAAGAGCCATCCAGATATGATGGTAAGCTACGAGGCTTGGGTTATGGATACCAGTAGTTGATACACAACACATATATAACTTTAAATACATAAATATTATTATAAACACACATCACACAAACGAATGCCCCCAGCGGGACTCGAACCCGAATTTGTGAATTAATCGTTATATATGAGAATAGGTTAATTTTTTAATCAAATATTTTAGTCACGCATAGTTTTATTTTTTTTTCTCAATTAATTAGTATAATTTAAAAAATTGTTCATTCACATATGGTTGCAATATTAATGTGTTTTAAAAAGGTTCTTAAGGTAAAAAAATAATAAGCGAAGCGAAGGTGACGGCCGTATAGCGTGTACTTTTTGTATTTCATTTTCATAATTCCATGTTTAGATTAGCTCTATTAAACATGCTTAAAATAGCAACAAAAGTAAACAATTGATTTTGCAAGAATAAATTTGTAGGCGCGATTTTCTCTTAATTACAATCGTATCCGGTATCAGTCATTTCAGAGTCAATAACATACAACTAGTATGTAGCTGCTGGCTTCATACCTATTCTGTGGTATTATTTGGTTAATTTTTTGATTATGAAGAATTCTTAAGATTATGGCAACGATTTAATACAACTACAATCAAAAAATGAAAATAATTTCTGAAATGACAAATTTATTATAATTAGCTTGTAACAACCTTTCTATTCAAATATGAAAGTGTTGAATATTATTAAAAATACTTATGACTTTGAAATTCATTAATTTATAGTGCCTATCGAAATAAAATAAATACTCTACATGTAATCTATATGTCATGGTTTTTATGTTCGTTAATACAAATAAATGAATAGCTTAAAGCTTCGAGTGTTGATTTGTGGCATTGTATAGATTTGCCAAGATCGATTTGTTTGTATTTGTTGTAATAAGTGAAAGTGTAAGTGAAATAAAGGAAAACTGCGTTTTTAGTGCCTGTTGAAATATAGGTACTTAAAATTATATAAACGTTTTTTCGGCTAAGTTTAAAAATTTTAACGAGTGGTT